GGATTTTAAGCCCAGCTACTTACAGCTATAAACTGACTTCCATAAAAGAGTGCTGTTAGGAGATGAGAATGGTTGACTTCAAAGGACGAGGTGCTCGCTCTTGGAGATCGGTGCCATGTTTCTTCCCTGTTGTCTTTAGACTGATGCTGAAGGCCCATAAATTCACCCTCCCTGCTTCTTAGGCCCCTTGGCCACAATTAAAAATGAACTGCCAGAAAAGGGACCCCCCCAGGAGAAGAAAGGAAGTATTCTAATAAACAACGTGGAAAACTCAGCTCGGTACAATGCCTTTCCCGCTTTATATGTTTAGAGATTAGCTGTTCTCTCCCAAGTGTACGCTCTAGCTGGCTATTTCTCTGCCAAGAAGACAAATCGTGCGGGCGATCGCTTTGGTTCACGGCTTCTAGGTGTCATAAAATCGGAGAACATCGAGAGGGCTCGCCGGTTCCGAGCTGCGAATTTTCCGGTCTCGTTTCACAACATTACAGAAGGTACCACAACTTTTTAAAAAGCAGAAAAAGCCTCCCATCTGTGGCGTCTCGCGCCTTGGGACGGCAGGGAGAGGATTTCCAAGTACTACTTGCGATAAATTGACTTTCTTTTTTTTTTTTCTTCAAAATTGCCAGTTGTCAGTCATTAACTTCCATGTGCATCCAGATCTTCTGCAGATGAATTTTGATCACTTGAATTCAACACGAAAGTGCATTAAAGCATAAAACACAACCCGCTTATTTTATATGCATGCAAATGAGAATCTGTTATACTCCCTGAACAGTCTGCCTCTGAGCATGTAACTTGCATATGTTCTCCAGTGGCATTTGTTTTCTAATTTGTGCTTCTGATTTATGGTCTACGGAGAGCTGAATTTGTAGGATTTGTAAGCCATAATTTTTTGTAATTCATTGGCAGCACAATGTTAATACCTGTGTTTCATCATTCTCTGTTTTGTACTTGAAAATGCAGCATGCCAGTGCATTGGGACTTCCATAAATGAGAGGACGCCCTTCATTTTTTCAGCCACGTGATTCTCATTGATGGAAAAAAAAAAATGCAAGGTGGTGAAAATGCTTACTGCTAACTGTAGAAATGCGAAATAGCCTGTAAGCTACATGTCAGGGAAATGTTTACGACAGCATAAACTCTTACAGACAGCATTAATAACCTTATTGTATAAAACAAATCACACCAAGCTATGTAAAAATAACACAGAAAAGTATTGCGCAATACACATGTCAGTTCCCACGTATGCCTACAAAGCAGCACGCGTTAATAGCCTTTCTGGTTCCTCCGCTATTGTTTAATTCACAATCTCTTGTTGTTATCAAATATGTGACTTAGTAATGATTAATGTAAGTATATAAAAGGAATAAATCATGCAACTATCCAGAAAACTAAACTTTCTGGTAGTGCCTTGGTCACAATGTTGCCACATATGAAAACTTTCACTGTTTGAATATAATTTTTTTTTAAACTGTTATGCAGTGTGTTTGCATAAGAGGTCTGAAATGCATTTGTGAATTTAATTCATTATTAAGTACAGTTTGGATTGTGGCATATCCAATAATTAGTTAAGAAATACGTATCAGATGGACCTGAGGATACTATGTTGAATCACCAATACGTTATCAGCTATGAGGAAAACTGACTTAACCTCGCCTGTGAAGTTAAGCTCGGGGACGTGGGTGGGGGGGCATGACCTAATTGTGCAAGACCCCCACACGCTTATTTCTGGGTATGGCTCTTAGTCGGCCACCTGAGGTCAGCCGTGGAACTTTCCCAGAAGCACCTGCTCCTGTTTCCAAATGACAGTCGGTTTGCGTCTAAAGCACAGACAGACGTGATGAGACACTCGGGGTAACAAATGCAGCAGGATGGGCCCGGTGCTGACCACAGAGCGGGACGGGGCCGACTGCCTGCGTGTGCGATTGTCCTGCCAAGGATCCCGGCAGCGATGAAGGCGGAACGCATAAGAATATAATTTGGAAATCTGAGATTGTTTTCGGTTGCGAAACCAGGCGACCGTAACTGGATTCCCAAAAGGCCGGACTCAAACATTCGAAAAGACAAACAACAACTTCCTTGTTAAGTGCATGACGTGCACCCTGAGGTTTCACTACAGGCAGAAACGTGACCCAAGGCTCTTTCTGGGGGCCCGGGCACTGGAAGACAGGCGTTGGGAGCAGGGGCGGGTTGAGCTGGGCGTCATGTCCCTTTTCGTTGTCCACCCCCCCCCCTTCCCCAGTCTTGTTTTTTGTTTTGCTCCTAAAAGGGACAATGTGCCTTTAAAAGCAGTGGGCTGTCAGGTGACTGAGGAGAGACAGTTGTCTCAGTTCACAGGGAGAAATAGAGTGTGCGACTGTGAGCGGAGGAGAGGCAGCAGAGGTGGGGCTTTTGGGGGGGTGCTAAGCGAGACCTCGTTTAAGGATGTGGGAGAATGGCAGGCTGGAAGAGCGAGCGAGGGAGCTGGGGGGGGGTGGGGGGGCATAGCAGGGAGGTGACAGTGGCCCTTTAACTGTAGCTCCGGCTGGGTGGCTGGGTGCAGCGTGGCTCGAGATCCTGGAGGAGCCGCAGTCGTTTAGCTACGGCATCGGGGGCAAGCTGGCAGAATTAAGTGCTGCGTCACACTGGGCGAGAGGGCTGGCGGCCGCGGTCGCGTGTGTGCGTCTGTGTGTTGGTGCGCGTGGCCGCTCCGCGTGCGTGTGTGTGTGTGTGTGCGCGCGCGTGTGTGTGTGTGTGTGTCTGTGTGTGTCAGGGAGAACTGGCTTTGTTGATATCCGAAGAACCAATGCTACTGCTGCAACTCGATGAAAATAGAGTGTGTGTGAGAGAGGGAGAGAGAGAGAGAGAGGGAGGGGGGGAGAGATTTTGTATTAGTCACTACGTCACTTTTTCACGTCGAAAAGGAAAACAGCAGCTAAGATAACAGCAGTCCAGATCTCAGATTTTCTACCTGAGAGTGGACACAACTCTAAACGATCCTTTTTCCTCCGCGGTCGTCCGCTTTTAATTGTTTATCTCCATTATGGCCATCTATCGCCGGCGTTGTTACCTGTATCGAGGATAATGTGGGCAGTCCGGAGGCTGAAAACATTTTGACGTATTGAAATATATATTTTTTTGTCCTGGATGGAGGCAAATGCTTAAAGTGATGGATGGGGGGTGGGGGGTGGAGCGGGGTTGAGGCGAAGAGTTAACGCGAGAAAGCTTGTTCTAGAAGGTTCTATTTATCGAGACGAAGCACATCTAGATAATCCCGAGTTATGCAAATAATCTAGGTTACTTTGTCTGTTTGTGTTTCTCAGTGTTACCTAAACTACTTATACTGACTGTTATCAGGACAGACTGAGCAGGGGAAGTATGTAGACAGGAACACGCATGGGGACACGTATGTGTGCGGGTACCGCATCTTCGCACATACATGTGACGCACACGCACTCAGATGCACACGCACTCGTCACGCTTTTGGGGCGATTTAAGGTTCCCCTTTTTCCCGGTAGCCTCTCATTGCTGTCCGTCTGCACCAGTTCTCCTGGTAAGTTATGAAGCACTGTTTTGCTGTAACATTATTTGTCTGTGGTGTTCTCATCCGTGGTTAAATTGGGTTTTTTTTTGGTTGGGGTGAAGGATGGGGGGGTGGTGGTGTGGATGAAGTTGTTCAGGGTGGTTCGGGGTACCGGCAGATGCCACGGCGAGACTCACTGGGTGTGTTTTTGGGGAGATTGCTGGAGTCCCATCAGGAAGACGTGCAGGTCCTGCAGACATGGCTGTGGTGGTGGAGAATTCTCCTGTGACTTCAGGCCAAGGCTGCCTCTATGTGAGGCATTTGTGTTGATGTAGTTAGTGGGAAGAGAGAGGTGATGACGCAGTGATCTTTACTTTGCCTGTTGAGGTAACATGCGTAGTCCCTTTTCCCCAGTTCTCTCTCTCTCTCTCTCTCTCTCTCTCTTTCTCTCTCTCTCCCTCCCTCCCTCTTCCTCCTTTTCTCTCCCTCTCTCTTTCTCTTTCTCTCTCCCCCCTTTTTCTGTCTTACTCTCAGTGTCGGGATGTAGAGTGTGCTTCTGAGAAGAGGACTGCCCCTGACAGCAGCACCGGGGGTCTAAATGTCATGGCTTCAGATCAGGGGGGGGGGGGGGGGAGTTGTTTACCTTGCGCTCTCGGTGGCTCTCGTTGGCAGCCCTCCAGCCTGCTTGTGATGGACTTCCTAAAGCAGCCGCATCATTGGTCTGCGGAGCGGGGCTGGGCTCCCATTGGGCTGGGGGCGGTCCCTTGAGAGTGGAGGCTGCGTCCTCTCAGTGGCCAGGCGCAGACGAGCAGGTGGAGGCTCTCTTCCGATTGGCCGAGAGGTAGAGCTGACATGTATGAGTGTTGTGTGTTTTGAGTAGAGAGTTGAGACTGCGTGTCAGAACACAGGAATATTTTGCCATGCCTCTGAGTCGACTTATTTTCAGGGTGGATCTTTATTAATAATGTGTTTCGGTACTGGGTGGAATTAATACACTGTGACTAAAATACCTTTATGATATTGCTATAGATTAGCGAGTTGCGATCCCTCGAGTTTTTCGCGAGCTGACACAGATTATCTATTTTTGATATTTGCTGCAAGATGAAAAATGAAAGGGAGGGGGGCGCTAAGTGTGGACCGTAAGAAGACTGGCGGGGCTCTCGGCTGAGCTGTTTACAGAGCCGCCCGCTTGTACTGGCAACTGTCTCACCGCGGGTCTGTCTTCTGCATGTCTGTCCCGGTGCCCCTCCGAGCTTGATAGGTCTGTGTCTGTCCGATCGGTTATCGGGTCTCATTTGTCTCATCTTCATCCCATTTCCCCCAAACCATTTCGTCATTGCCGCGATGACACTCTAGGGGGCGCTGTGGAAACGGGTGCAGCCACCACGGGTCTCGCATCTGCTGCAGTCGACGCCACAGGCCGGTGCTGGAACACAGCGGCCTTTGGGGAGGAGATGGGGGGGCCAGTTGGGGGGGGCTGCCCTTCGACTCACTGTGCCTGTGCAGAGGGGAGGGGCTGAACCGTCCCTAGTATGACAAGGGTCTGTGACGTACCGTGTAACCAGAAGCTTGTGGGATTGAGTCCCCTGGAGGACATCACTTCAGCTTGTGGGAGGGACAGACAGGATCTGGGCTCGGTACAGGGGAGCAGTCACTCGTTGTGGTTATTTCTGACGTTAAACTGCAAATGTTTACTATAGTGAGCAGACAAGCCCTCAAGGGTAACACAGCCAACATCGGATCAGCACCAGGCTAAAATCCGGCCTGACACACTGGCGTTCGCAAGTTAAGTTATGCAGCTTACCACAGTTAACCACACTTTGCTAAGGTACAGTAAAAAGAGCACAGCGGCTATGCGGATATCGTCCAGACCAGCACTTGGGTCACTGTACTGGGGAGACGGACAAGGCACCCCCCCCCACGCCTCCCACCAGCATCATCATTCCCACTGCGTCTTTTTCGGGGATCCTCTGGCAAACGCCCGCAGCACGTCGAGGACCACCAGGAGGATCGCCCGGAGGAATAAACAAGCGGGAGACGTCTGCACCCAGGAACGGGCGGAACTTGCACTGAGTTGCAATGAACGGAGCCACCCTCCCTCACCCCCCCCACCAAAAAGGTACGTCCCATATAGCAGTGAACTTAAGAGGTCCATGTCAGTACATGATCTCTCGTATGTGCTTGGCAGTGAGTCCCGTTGTCATCGGTGTCACAACCCCGGCTTTGCAAGTCTAAATGTTGTCGTTGGGAGGCTCCCCCCTCCGCCTAAGTTGTGATTCTCTCAATGCTGCCCCGATGACACAACCGATTTTATTTTGGACGGCGTGAACTTTGCATGCCGTACTACACAGTCAATACTGACCAATCAGCACCATTTCTAAAAGCTCGACCTGCTTAAAAATCTGTCCTTTTGGAACAGAAGCAAAGTCGAGGGGATCATGGACGTCCAGCACAAGGTGATTTACCAGGGTGAAAGCACCAGGGGGAAGGTGTGCAGACTCAGCAGGTTAAAATGCTTTCCCCATGATCAGAAGGTTGCTGGTTCAAATCCCAGAGTCGACAAAGTGATATCACCCTTGGGCCCTTGAACGAGGCCCTTAACCCCCAATTGCTTTAGCGACTGGCTGATCCTTTCTCAAAACTGTTCTCTTTCACTTGGCATAAAAGCATCAGCTAAATAAAGAAAGTGAAACTGAAATATCACTTGTAAAAGTGACACTAGCCTGGGTGGTACTCATGTCTCCTACGCCCCCACTTGGCTGGGGTTGTATTGTGCTCTCCTCCATGGAGCAGCAGTGACGCCAGAGGCAGACATTTACACATGTAGTAAATTGGGGGGGGTTTGTAACCTCACCCCCTAGATTTATTTGTTTTATGAATCTGCTGATCGGTAGGGTTGCAGGACACTGGCCAGAGGAACCAATAGTCCTGCACTGCATTCTGGGAGAAATGTGGGTCATCCGCAGAAGCACCCGTCGATAATGCAGGATAAACAGAGGGTTAAGAGGCAGAAGACAGGATTGCTGGCGCACTGCCTTAATAGCCAGTTACAACAAGCCGCCGCCGCCCCCGAAATGAGGCGGACGTGACCTGCCTTGCCAGCTGCCAGGAGGTAAGCAGCCGGGGCATAATCGGCTGCTCTCCGCACCAGTGAGAGTCGCTGTTTTATACGTGTATCCTGTCCTGCTCCCGTCGAGCTCTGCTGTGACTGTAATCTTTCCATTTGCGACAGCTCTGAGACACTTTGCAGCCTTCGCAGAGTCTGCCTTTTCTACAGACCAGTGTGTCTTGCATGTGGAAATGAACAACAGTGCCCTCTGCTGGGACTTTGTGACTTCGCTCTTTTCCGAAGTTGTATGAAAAATTGAATCTGGCCCTTTAAATCTTTTATAAACATTACACAACAGGTCAAGTGCAGTAAAGTAACAAACAACCAGGAAAAAAATGCGTAGGAAAGTTAATCCAGAGACAGGCCAGACAGCTATAAACAACTCTAGAGCTAGGCTCTAATACTAAACAGCAACCTCCCCCCAAAAAAACAAACCTGCCCCACTAATGTGGAAATGTAACTTTGATAATTGCCGAACTGTTGAAGTCTGTTCTTCCGGCTTTTGTGGAATCAAAGAAATTTTGTATTTGGGGAGCAAAAGAAGCAAAGAGGGAAAAATACTCAGGCTATTTCTGTGCGTCACTGCGCAGTAAAGCATTGAGATGCATGTTTGCGTAGTTAAAAGTCGCTTGAAGGAGAGAATAAAACAGATTAAGGTGGGGGGGGTGGGTGGAGGTGTGGCTGCAGGGAATTCAGCCAGTGCCATTTGGGTGGAGGTAGGGAGGGAGAGTGAGAGAGCGCGAGTGCAGGATTCTGAGTGCGAATGGACAGCCATGCTTTTGCCATATCTCTTGGCACTCATTCAGCTGGCCAGCACCTGTCACCACACCCCTGCAACGTGTCAGCGTCACGGCTCTTCCAGGCGGGATTAGTCGCTTCCTTAGCATCCCGAGTCATCTAGCGAAAGCAGGGATCAGCCTCTCATAGACGATGAGGTGCCAGCGTGGGAAGGAATCAGAGCAGCACTCAGAACGCCTCGCAGCAGACTGGCCTGATCGTGGATTAAGCAGCGAGCCGTCTGCACCATGCCGCACGTTTTTGGGAGTGGATCCTGTTTGCTGCAAGGAGTGTGCCCATCCCTCATTTGTTCTCTGGTGACTCCGCCAACCACAGAGCTCTCTCCGGGCTAGTTTTGCTCTAAAAAGCAAGGTCTGTCACAGAAAATGTCTTCAAACTATCTCAACAGAACTACTTCCCTCTGGCTTTTTTTTTACAGAAAACATGCCATCAAGAGAAAATGACAGCCAACGCAACTACTGCAAAGGTTTCTGACCAAGTAAAGTCCTGCCAAGCAAAGGCGTTCCTTCCTGGCACTCTTCCGAGGGAAAGGTCCACCCGCAATGAGTGACGAAACTTCAGGTGAGCTGAATGTTCTCCATTTGCTTATCCACCATTTTAGGAGAGGACCGTTGAAGCAGTTAGCCAGAGAGTGCAGAAGCTCACCATGAAGTAGCCTTGAACGCCAAAACAGCAGTCAGCCCCAGAATGCAGAAGGTAACCCTTAGGTAGCCTTGAACGCTAAAGCGACAGTCAGCCCCAAAGCACAAAAGGTATCTCTTAGGTAGCCTTGAACGCTAAAGCGACAGTCAACCCCAAAGCTCAGAAGGTAACTCTTAGGTAGCCTTGAACGCTAAAGCGACAGTCAACCCAAAAGCTCAGAAGGTAACTCTTAGGTAGCCTTGAACGCTAAAGCGACAGTCAACCCCAAAGCTCAGAAGGTAACTCTTAGGTAGCCTCAAATGCTAAAGCGGCAGTCAGCCCGGAGTGCAGAAGTTCACCGTCAAGTAGCCTCAAATGTCAAGGCCGCAGTCGTCCCCAAAGCGTCGAAGATAACCCTAACATAAACTTCACTAAATCAACAGTCAGCCCCAAAGCACAGAAGGTATCACTAAAGTAGCCTCAAGCCTAGTTCATACTTTACTTTTCTGCATGCTGTTATGGTCCATGCATGTACTCTTGTGCATACGACAGTTGTCCAGCAATGATATTCCCCCAGACCATGAGAGGGCAGATGTATTGCAACACAGATATAAGCAGTGTAGTGAAACGGGTAAACTTTTATGAACAGTAATAAAGTTATTAACAGGCTTGGGTCATATACAACAACGTATAATACAACATACCGCAGTATTCTGAAATATTGGCAACAAAATTAGCAGGAACCCCTGGCTAATGCCTGAATTAAAAAAAAAAAAGTTCATATATGCAGTATAATGACTGGACAGTATAAAAAATCAGAAATGTGAGTACTAGGGTTGGGGCCATTCCGGAATGCATTGATCAATTCCAGTCCAAATCAGGAAATGGAACTGGAGCTGGGATTGGAAAAAAAAACTACAGGGAACAGAATTGGAGTTGAATTTGAATTTCGGGGAGATTTAAGTTCCAACTCCAGTTCCATTTCCTGATTTGGACTGGAATTGATCAATGCATTCCGAAATGGCCCCATCCCTGGCGAGTACTGCAACCTGTGCAGGTACCGCGCTCACCCTGTGCACGGACTGTAGCTGCATGTGGAAAAAAGAAGTATGCATTGGCCTTCAAGTAGCATTGAGAACCAAAGCAACAGTCAGTCTTTGACTGTAAAAGGTAGCCCTTAGCTAACCTCAAACATGTGCTTTGAAGAAATGCAAGACTGCGCCTCCTTTACATCGACAAATCACATCAGTGAATTCAGTGGATTCACGTCTGTGTGCCATTGAGATTTCTGAAGTGAGTGTGAGTTTTATCTCAGTCCGAAAACACCATAATCCTTGTGTCTGCTCTTGTGTGTCACTCTTTAGGTAATGTTACAGTGTCTAAGGGCTTTATTTTTAGTTTTTACCTGAAATTGTGGAGGGAAAAAAAGGGAAGTTTGTCCTGAAACCAACCACTTGAAAACTGAGAGGAAGGACAAAAGTAATAATCATGCATAAAATACAACAGGAAATCCCAACTCGAGCATTAAATGAGGACTGACACCTTTAGAGTAACCCCCCAGTTATCTGCCATTGTACAAGGGATTATTCTTTCCAGAAATGATTCTATCTAGGAAGTATGCTGACAGGGAAGTATGTTGTCCAGGAAGTATGCTGACCGGGAAGTATGCTGACCGGGAAGTATGCTGTCCTGAAAGTATGCTGTCCAGGAAGTATTCTGTCCAGGAAATTGTTATGCATCACCAAATTAGCAAGAGAACTATGCTGACTGAACACTGCGTGAGATGAGCTGTAGCACTTCCTGAAACAAAACTGAAGCACGGGCGAGAACAGGCAGGCAAGATGTCAGAGAATCGGCAAGTGAGCCAGCCGCTACAGTGTAGGAGGATCCTTAACCCTGCACAAACACCCGTTTGAGTGGAATTTGGCATCGTTTTTACTAAATTTTGCAAATGGTTTATTTTAAATGTTTATTTCCCCCGTGTTTCATAGGTCTGAGCTGTGTAGATATGAAACATTACAGAAATAATTAGTGTTTATATATAACCTGTGCAGGGAAGGGTAAGGATTATCTAGCCTGTAGCGATGGCTGGTAATTCACTCTCTGGCTTGTACACAAGGGTCAGGCTATATGAATGGCCTGAACTGTTGGTTTTTATAAGTTTTTGCTGTTGTTAGTTGTTAGTGTCTTATAATAACATGGTTCGACTCCCTGCGCGGTTCACATATTCTGGGTTGTGGGTTTGAATCCCACTTCCGCTCTCTGTTTATGCAGTTGCTATGTTGAACCTATGTTGTGTGCGTTTCCATGGTGATGTAATAGGTTTCTTTATATGGTCTATAATGTGCATGTGTATAAGGATGTGCATACAGCAGTGGACTGGTGTTCCCTGTGTGCCCTATTCTGCCTGCAGTGAGCTCTAGGTCCCCCTCCTAGGGGCCTGTCCAGGATAAGTGGTTGGAAGATGGATGCGTGTTGATATCTGGAGCAGCGAGCCTTATAGATTCCTCCAGGACTGCTGAGAAATGGGGATAGATGTCTGTTCTTCTTTCAGAATTTTGCTGTTCGGTTGGTAGCGAAGCTGTGTATTGAATTTCACGTGAAAATCAGTACTTCCTGTTCAGGGGCACTGCTTACATCGAGACTATCAGAACTAATTATCAGGTCCTAATTAAGCTAATCTGTAAGTTCACGCATGCACTGATTGTGGAGTGTTAGAGAATGGATGCTACACAACAAAACAATCTGTCTACAAGGTTAAGCGGTAAAACTTGAAGAATCTGGGTGTCAGAACCAGCAGTGTTGCTTTCACACACAGTCGAAGTGGACGTTAATTGTCTTGTTCGTCAGCCCTAGATTAGAATTATAAATCAGTGTCAAAGTATCATAAAAGCCCCCATGTAATACCTAGCAACACCTGTGTTACACTCTGTACATCAGTATTCCAAATTAGGACTGCACAATGAACCTGTCCAGGCTATATGTATGTTTGTGTCTATGGTATGTGTGTGTGTGTGTGTGTGTGTGTTTGTACCACAACAGACTGGCATCCATCTAGGATGTTCCTGTGCCCTGTGCTTGCTAGATGGGGCTCCAGTCTCACCATGACCCTGTACTGGGCGCATGGGTATTTTACATTTTTATCCCTAACATTGATCCTTTTTTTTTGGTGGGTCTTATTAAATGTGTAAGATAAAGCAATCGTGGCTTGCGTCAGAATGTCAGAACCAGGATTTGCTCATATTTTGCTGTGCTGCACAGTGTGAATAATTCAGCCTAATTTATTTACAGAGACCACAGGAGAGCTCGGCTGTGCAAACAGCTCTGCGTTCTGATGTTCCACACGAACAGCCCAATGAAGACGGTCGTGGTCTTCCTGCAAATTTACGTCTTATCCACAGTCATGACCACATCTGCTGTGTTGAATGTCTGCACAGACCAGCTTCTGCTGCCAATTCTTCTTAGGCTTCAGTGGATGCTGGGAATCCCACTAGGACTGGCCCTGATGTTTTGGGTTCAGGGAATCGTTGTTTACGGTGGGCTGCATTTGGTTTCTTGAAATCTCGTTTACTGCTGTTTCATCTAAAACAGCTTTAGTTGGAGTCCTGCCAGTAGTCAATACTTCAGAAGTAACAAAGGGGCGGTTAGTGATTAGATTTTCTAGTTGCTAGGGGTGACAAAGACCAGTCTTTTGTTTTTCCCTCCAATTTGAGGATTGTGTTGGATACTGGGAGCTGACAAAACCAATTGACACGAAGGCCAAAATTAGTCAGATGAATCCCCCCCCTCACTGGAAAGTTATACCCCCTATCATGAGTATTTACTCTTTTTCCTCCCTTCGTCACACAGCGTGACATTGATTTAAGACCCCTCTCCCAGTCTCTGCTTGGTATCTTGGGCCAGAAGGGGCAACAGGTCATAAGTATGACACAATGTCTTCACTCTGCTTTGAGGCAACTGGTCAAATATATAGATCCTGTAGCGTTATTTGGTTCTGCCATTTAATATCATATTAGAACATTAATACTGTTTTTTTCTGAAGCAGTTTGTATTTTTATCAGAGTCCTTCAGAAAGAAGACATCAACAGAAATAACATGGTGTCACATGGCAGCAAATATTTGGAGCAAGTCTGGGCACCAAGGGCGAGTATTTAACACCTGTGATCATAGGGCAGCCTGGCAACATGGGGCATAATTAATACACCTTGGGGTGCGAGTTTCAGTGTCGTGCAACAAAGATGTGGGAGGAACCTCGCAAGATGCTCGGCGACCACCAGACCAAGGAAGTCTTCCTCTGGAAGCTGGTTTCAGATGGTGGCTTAGAGTGTTGTATGCTAATCATCTAGCACCATTTGAAATCAGTGTTCTTGGGGCAGGACAGACATCTGCCATATGCATCGACCTGCCGTGAAGGAGTAAAGTAGGGAGTAGATGTTTGCAAGAGGGGTGGACAAACCTCTTGACACATCTCTAAGCCATTGTATTGAGTATAAAGCAACTTTTCTCTGTGTTGCTCAATAGAGGGTATCTAGAAGCAATGGTTGTGCTCAGTTGTGTGTCCATCATGCTCATTAGCATACAGCCAAGTGGTCACTTAGAAGGTTGCCCAGCCGTTTCATCGTAAGGGGGCCCCACCCTCCAGTCCAAATGCCCTGTGCGCCTGTTCACCATCCAGTAGAACCTGGCTTTTTCATAGACAGTTTCCTGGGTTGATGCAGGGGTGAGATCTGTTCAAAGTTCTGGTGACAGTTCCTGCATCTCGTGACCGTTCTCGGAGCAGCCTGAGCAGAGACGCCCGCAGTCAGGATCCCTGTCCTCTCACCAAGGCTGACCGATTTCTTTTGGTGTTCAGAGTCTCCTTTAGTTTCTAGCACCATTTGAAATCGGTTACAATGTAGGAGGGAAGTCGACGGAGTTCCGGCGCCCATACAGTTCCTGCCCCTGTCCTCACCATGCCCTTTTGCAAGAGATTACAGCAGCTCTTTGAAGTATATGAAAACAGATCAATTCATCAAACATACCAACATGAATTGGCATATCATTTATTTTTCCTACCCTCTTGTTTTTGTATGATCTTCCATCCATCCATCCACTACAGGGTTGCAATGAGCCTGTACCAGGCAGCATGAATATCTAATAAATATTAAGGCATTAAATATTTAAATTTGCACTCATGTTAATAATGGTTTCTAATTCCAGTCCCCAATGATGTCTGTATTTAAAGTGATTTGTATTTTTGTTTATTTAATTAACAGTATTAGGCTTTGATTTATAAACGTTGGTTATAGTCTCTGTCTGTTCATCTGTTGACTCAGTTTTCAGAATGCAAGATGATGCATGTGAACATAATTTATTCAAAACCTGAATGCACTGATGGAAAATGCTGTTTACTGTACCTTACTGTACATTCAGACCTCTGGATGCTGTGGTTTTTTTAAAAGATCTTTTTTCCTGCACGTTTATGGGATTAAAGAATGCCGAGGCAGCAGTGTTTTCAGTGTTTCTGTGTCCACGTATCTCAGCCATACTTACTATACTATGACATTAATATGGGGTCTATATGAAATTGGAACACTGCTTTACAGGCAGTTTTAATCCAAAAGTTAATTTACATATGGTGGAATTTTACACTTTTACAGCTGTGCCTTTTTAGTCCTGTGACTGTTTTAAGTAAGTTTTCAGAATACATCAAAAGCAGTCGTCTGTTCTAGAAGCTTGCCACCAGGTGGCGCAAATTCATCATTCTCATTATTTAGTATAAAGTGTTACTGTAAGCCAGCGTGTGTGCATGTTTTGATCCCTAAGTATAGTGAATTTTTTGATATGTTAACAGTACTGATCGAGAATAATAATATAAACACAGAAATGGGTGAAAATACAAGATGGGTCATTATTGAATTTTACATCCTTTATGTAATCCATCAGAATCCAAGTCCACTTAAATATCTGTACATACATCACCTGTGACACCAACCATGACTTTTGCTGTACTTTTAAATTCTTTAGTATTGTTAGCTCATATAACTAACTCGAAGCTAATCAGTCTATGCCCATTTTTTGTACTTCTCAACATATTCACAGAAGTGCAGAAGGTCGATCTTAAAGTCTATGGCATATTAATAATGAATTTCCTTAGTACTGCTGCACGGCTGTAGGTTGAGCAGTCTTCGGCAAATTATATTTTGTACATGGGTGTGGTACGAGAGTAATAGGTGATTTATTTTAAAATTGCCTAACCGGTGTGATAAATCAATCATGGAGAACCTGAAGTAAAATATTTCTTCACAGCCATTGTCAAGGACAAGGTTAGTGATGTCATGCATTTCCTGTTTCTTCATAAGTAAGAGAACATCTCTTCCACTTACATTGCAAGTTGCTTTATTTCTCATTGCAGAACAAATCCTTGATGTACTGGATGGGTATTAGACAGAATACTGCTGTGCATTTCAATGAAAAGTTATCGTAAATCTTGTCAAAAACATTTTTAAATAATATTTGCATATGCAGTCAAAACAAATTAACAGCTGAAATTGGAAACCATAACAGGTCATATAAATATGTTTTAAAATACTGATACATGAATAACCATTAATAGAAATTGGAAATAAATACAATTTTCAATACTTTGCACAATTAACAAAACTTTTTTTTTTTTTTAAAAAAGTGCAATGAAAGTTTTTCAGATCCTTTTCCACGTAAAAGGAAAAGACTAGCAGTAAGCGACGTTGGTTTGAAGGTGCTTCCAGTGTCGGGGGGTGGGAGTGGGGGTTCTCCCTCAGCTCAGAGAAACCGCTCCAGAATAGCAGGGAAGAGCAGTCCAACAGCAACACTCAGAGCTACGACAGGAAAAAGAAAGAGATACTGGACCACACCATGCTCTGCTTATCAAGACAAAGCATCAGTCAAGTTCCTGACCATGAAACCACTATATTTTTATCTACATTTTTTTTTAATATGAAACCGGAACCTTAGCATTGAACTGGAACAGTATCATCCATACTGAACAAGAAAAATACCCGGCCAGCTTTGAAGAAACCGAGAGCCAACATCAGCATTTGGCTAATATGTAAATAAGGGCAACTACAAAATAAGCCTGTAACAGGCTACAGACAGGGTGCTGCTGTTTGCAGAACACAATATACTGTATTTTACTTCCTATCAGTTCATCCCATATATACCAGTCTGTTGATGGCGGTGACTCATAAGAGGCACACCTCAGAATGTCCCAACGTGACCTCCCAAACAATGGGCTGATTGTTAGTGATCAAATTTACTTTTCTTTGTGAGATGGAATTCACCGGATACTTCCCAGAGTTTTTGACTAGGTTCCAGTCCCCGAAAAGCAACAACAGAGCACCACATAATTATTTTATGCATGATCTCAGATAATTTTAACTCTGTAGAAGTTAGTTTAAGCAAGTGCTGAAGACGTCAAATGACATTCCAGTTTCATGTTTAAACTATATACAAAGATTTCATTGTACATGGACTTTCACATATTACTATTCTGAGCGTGTGAAATTTTCTGTGATTGAAGACTTGCCCATTTCACATGGACTGAGGGCTGATGGTAATAAAGATGTTATTCAGACTGAAATTATTCTAAAATTGGGATGCAAAACATGAGTCTCTGAATCTTTTAATATTAAATGTCAGGGGTCAGTTTTAAGGCTGGGATTGTACTAGCTAGACACAGGCTATAACGTCCATTATAAATAATGAGAAATGTAAAAATAACATGTGTTTTATAGGAATCCCAGAGTACAGGACGGTCCATACTTGAATAGGATGGCTTACCATGAGGGGTAATGTTGGCACCCTTTCCCCTGGACACTGGAAATAAAGGGTGAGAAAATAGATTAAAATAAATTTGACAGAAAATGTCCTGCTCATATCCGATCACCCATCCACCTTCCAAGCATTTCTGATCAGGGACACAGACATGCCCAGAGTCTAACCCAGGCAGCAAAGCGGCACACAATGGGCAGGATGCCAGTCTATCACAGACTGCACAAGCAAATGTTATGGCCAATTGAGAGAGGACAATGAACCTAATGCCTTTGGAGTATGGCAGGAAAGCCATGCAATATGGGGAGAACATGCAAATTCCGCACATGTAAAGCAGATAGATACCCAGCTCATTCACAGCTCATTCCTTCAGTATTAAATATAGAAAATGGCTAGCATAAATAATGAACAGTAATTTCAAGTGATTTGTCGGAATCCTAAAAGCTGATCTCAGTGGCTTACTGCAAATGGAGGACGCTATAATACGAATTATAATCAAAATTTGGTTAACCTTGGCATCCATGTAGTTAGAATTTCACATCGTAGACTATATTATGGAGCATACACATCATGCAAGGGCTCAGGGTTTGATGGACACAACTTTACCATGTGTTGTGCCCCGAGTGGTCACTGCTGTTTTTGAGGTTGTGACTTTGCGTGTAGTTGGTGGTTGAGAGACTTAAAAAAATACAAGATTAAACATGAGTGCACTAACTGATGTAAGATTTTATCTTGTGAAGTTGTCACAAGTTTCACCTGGAAGTGATGAAAACCAATTTAGGTGACAGGCAGTATAGCTAATGGCTATGTAGCTAACAGGGTGTGTATAGGTTTCAAGAACATTTATAGACGTGGACAAATTTGTTGGTACCCTTACAGCTCATTGAAACAATGCTTCATTTCTCCTAAAGAGAAATTCAACAGCAAAAAGCAATGTGATAGAATTAACCAATAAAATTGTGATTTTTTTTTTTTTTTTTTAAACAAGGATATGCTAAAATAAAATGGACAGATTTGTTGCCCCTTAAGAGATTATTTATCCTTGCATTATAGTCATGTTTCAAACTAAGCGTTTAACCTTAATTAGTATCACAAGTGCCTTTAAGCTTTTCATCAGCCATTCCGCCTTTTTAATGGAAAGAACATGCTACTGTATTGTTTGGTATCACTGCGTGTGAACATGGACCAGAGAAATCAAAGGAGAGAGCTGTCTGAGGAGCTCAGAAAGAAGATTACCTTTAACATGGTTATCTGTAAAGGCTATAAGACCATCTCCAAGCAGCTTCATGTTCCTGTGACCACAGTTGTTAATATTATTAAAAAGTATAAGGTTCATGGGACTTTAGCCAACCTCCCAGGACGTGGACGCAAGAGGAAATGCAATCCCAGGTTGATCAGAAGGATAGTGTGGATGGTAGAAAAAGAGCCAAGGAGACCATCCAAAACCATTCAAGCTGAGCTCCAAGGTCAAAGTACGTCACTTTCTGATCGTACCATCCGTCGCATTTTGAACAATAATGGGCTCCATGGAAGAAGACCCAGGAGGGCTCCGCTATTGACAGAAGAACATAAAAAGCAAGAGTGGGATTTGCCAAAATGCATGTTGACAAGACCCCAAAGTTTCTGGGAGTGCTTTGGATTGAGGAGTCAAAACTGGAGCTTTTTGGCCAGTCACATCAGCTCTATGTTTACAGAAGGAAAAATGAAGCTCTAAAAGAAAAGTTATGCATTGCTGTATCTGGCACAGGGAACTTTGAATCTGTGCAGGACACAATGAAGTCTCAAGACTTCTAAGCCACCCTGGAGTGAAACATACTGCCCAGTGTCAGAAAGCTCAGCCTCAGTCACTGGTCATGGGTCCTCCAACAGGATAATGATCCAAAACATACAGCTAAAAGCACTCAAGAATGGCTGAGAGAAAACACTGGACTTTTCTTAAATGGCCCTCCATGAGCCCAGATCTTAATCCTATTGAACATCTATGGAAATATCTGAAAATTGCTGTGTGGAGACGCCACCCTTCAAACCTGAGACAGCTTAAGCAGTTTGCTCAGGAAGAGTGGGCCAGACTACCTGTTGGCAAATGCAGATGTCTCATTGTGAAGTATAGAGATCGCTTGTTGGCACTGATTGCTGCAAAAGGTGGTGCCACAAAATATTAAATTAAGGGTACCATCTTTTTTGTCCGTGCCATTTTCATTTGTTTAATTATATAAAATATTCAGCTGAATCAATAATCAAAAGCAAAGTCTGATTTGTGTTAAATATGGAATATACAATAAGGGATGCCATTACACTTTTGTCAGTTTCAAGTTATTTCAGAGATAGTTGTGTTTTTTTGTGGACAGATACCAACAAATTTGTCCACATATGTAAATCCACGAAGTCCCTTCAAGTTGGAACAAAACTGCTCATCAGGACATCGGGTCCATGTAATTAGAATTTCACATAAATGTGAAAGTGATGGTGAATGTTTAAGGATTCAATCATAACACTACATCCTGCAAGCTAAGCAGGACCGTACCATGAACTGTGGACCGGGGGGTTGGTGTTGTAGAGGTTGCAGGTGTTGTTTTCCATGTAGTTGGATTAACTAAAAAAAAAAAATGGTACCAACCAATATTAGATTTTGATTTTTGACATTAATTGTGGAAAAGCTGAGAGTGCCATGCCTTCCTGCTGACAGATGAGAACAATTCTGACATACACATTGTCATTAATAAACCATCAATTTTGCCAGTTCTATGATCACAATGTTACTAAAACAAATCTGAAGAGCCGAAAGTGTGGTATGGTTTTGCTCTAAAACTGTGTTCAGTATGTGATCCTATGACAATTTACTAAACTGGAGCAAACATAAGCTTCAAATTAAGCCCAGGTACCTACAGAGTTTACTAGCTTTGAAAAGTTATCAAATGCAATCACTGGTCAACTTGATGGACAACTATGGGGACATTCAAGAATTCTGTCACAGAAGACCAGAGGAAGGACATAAGCAGTCAACTGGTTTAAAACAAGGGCTACACTGTCCCAGTCTTACCCTCACTGCAGGTTGGAAAGCTGGGAGTCCATCCATTCACGTCACAGGTTAACCGATCCGCGCCGGTCATTTTGTAGCCTTTTTTACACTCAAAGACGACGAATGATTCATATTTGTAGGGTGGTGAACCTTGCACGCGCTTGCTGTTAGCGATAAAAGGTTCAGGGCACCGAACAACTGCAATTGTTAGAAAAAGGTAAGCATCAAAAGAAATTAGCAAATACTTCTCAGGTATGCTTTGAGGAACAAAACTCAAGATTTTCAGTTGTATTAGTCTGAGGTGTGACTGAAGAAAATTTAGTAGCAACAAAGTAAAATCTATAAACAGTAGGAATATGAATTATTGGGTTATTTACGTGGGTCAAATACAGTCATACGCTGTTAACCCTTACCTGTTAGAGTTAAGCTTTAGCTTTGATGAACAATTTAGGCAATATTTTATACTCATATCTAATAGTCAAGTTAACGCCTTCCAAAACAGGCTGGAAAGCTCAGAAATGTTGCAAAGGATGAATTCACTACGCAAAATATAAAAAAAGCAACACAGGCATTAAACAGACAATAGCGATGTCTTGCCTGCAGAAAGAAATAATTTCATCCTATACAAAATAATCAAAAGCCACAAAAAAGTTCAAGAGCGATTCTCGGGAAAGGTCTCTTTCACAGTCAGCCAAAATTTTGAAATATCATGATAAAATCTGATACCAGTCATCCAACAAAACTCATGTATTTGAAGGTGTGCAATAATAATTAATAACTTGTTAGTAAAATATATTCCACTTTAAAACAATATGGCCCTGTTAATTGCTCAAATGAGGTTTTAATACAAATTTTAAAAAAATTAAAAAAAATATGGTAATATGTCATCTGTCTCATTAGGTTTCATGTAGTTTTAATCATTAAATGTATTTATTCCTATAAACATTCTCTCAGTTTGAAATATGACATACCTGTACAATTAGGAGGTGCAGGTGTAAAACTGCCATCCGCAGCGCACATAATAAATGATGGTCCAATAAGAGTGTAGGAGTCATTATTGCAGGTATATTCCACAGCTTCCTGGTACCTGATGTCAGAGTCCTTATCGGGCATGCCATTCAAAATGCTAGGTGGCTCCCCACAGTTAACAGCTGCAAAACACGAGGAGCAGAGTGTGATTAAGGGAGACAGATACATCACTTATGGCAATGTTACTCAAACAAAACAAACATAGACTGTCTGAAGGTCCCCAAAGACAAGGGTGAGAAGCACTGACTTATGGGGGCCTGAAAACCACAGCCATATGTTTACCTTCACAAACTGGATTGTGGCCAGTCCAACCACTCACTTCACAAACCCTATATTTATTCTGGTTTGCAAGTACATATCTAAAGTTGAAAAAAAAAGAAGAAAGGTAACGCAAAGTGAAGAAAAAGAAATGACTGGGAAATGGGTTACAGAACATTTAAGGCCATACACATAACCAAGAACCAGGTCATAGCGTTTTTATTGTACCCATAAGGAATAAAAGCTGGGTCCCACCAACCCAGCTTCCAGTCACTTATCCAGTACAGGATGGTGGAGAATCTGTAGACAAAGCCCAAGGCGAGATATGGACACTAGGAGTAAACTGCGTGGGTAGTATTTAATTGCACTGTACACACATAGAAGCAAATGCGACACATAATTCAGCCAATTTACCAAACCACATCAGTAACTGACATAAAGCTTAAACGAAAAAGGTACATAGAAGAACATCAAAGACACTGATGACAGACAGCAATTCTAACACAATGAAAAGAACTTATAATAGTAGTGGGGTAGGAAAATGCTAAACAAATCTATTGAGAACCTGCTCACCCTTCATTACAGATCGCATAAATCGTCGCTCCAAAGTCTGTTCCTTCAGATATGTTATACCTTCCATTAATTATATCCGGCGGGGAGCCACACGGCTTTTCTGATAGGAAGAACAAAACATTTTTACTATACGAGAATCACTACTTTCAGCAGCAAATATATACTGATCCTTCAGGCGCCCACTCTGAATTATAACCAGACCCAACACTGCCATTATAAGGTATAATGGTGAGAGGTATACAATACAAAGGAGATAGAAACAACTTATTGAATTGACCAGTCAGGAACATCTGAATTACTTTGACATTCCAGTGTAAGATTGCTCCATTTGCCGTCCTGGCAGGTAGATGATTTGGATCCGGACGTCGGTATATAGCCAAGAATACACTCATATGTAACCTTGGTGCCATTGCGGAAATTGTTCTCTTGACTGTATTGAGGCGCCAGGATAACATTTGGGTAGGTGTTTGGTTTTGAACACTGTCCTGAAATGGAAACAAAAATGAAAGAGTAAACAGCAGACATGATAAATGCTTTTAAGCAGCCCTATTATAAACATGTACTGAAGTTATGTTAAAATGCATGACATGCGGAACACAAACCAAGTCTATTAAACCTATTATTTCATTTATGTAAACTTCTTTGTATTACAAAGATAAATTCATCCATCCATCCATCCACCCACCCACCCATCTGTCCGTCCATCCATCCATCTTCTATACCTGCTTGTCTTGTGCAGTGTTGCGGGGGCATGGAGCCTATCCCGGAAACGCCGGCCACAAGGCAGGAAATAATCCAGGATGGGGTCCCAGCCCATCACAGGGCACACACACACCATTCACACACACACTCACCAGAATAAGATGAAGGAATAACTGTATATATAGTGTAATACAATACAGATGGTGCAGAAGTACGGTAGTAAAAATCTTTTCAGGCCAGAAGAGTACAGTAGCTAATCATTACATAAAAATCTGCAGTATTAAAATAACATGACATGTACTGTGTAATCTTACCATTTGCATTGACTTCAAAAGTGACACACACAAACACGAAACAGCAGATCCCGTAAAACAGCCTCTTAAAGCCAAACATCTTTATCCCATCCAGGTAATTTCAGCAAGGCTGTAGCTGCTGGATCTGCTTTTGTTCCTGACTTCCAGCTGCTCGACTCCTGATCCCTAAAACCAAACCAAATTGGGTGGAAAAGACACTTTTACAACACTTCACTTCGCTCGACACTGGCCAAACGGAGACTGTGGCAAATTAGAGAAATTATTTTCTCTAATATAATAAAAAAGACCAACTTAACCTGATATCCAACCACCAGAATTGGCGATAAGACAGCAGGCAAATGTTGTCTGCTAGTTTTTTCCTTTTACGTACTTGGAGTAAAAATGAGGGGTTTATAGGTATACCTGTCATTTCCGAGCAAGGCTGTAGTTTTGGTCTTGAATGCTAGGGATCACGTTCCTACCACATACTGTGGAAGTACTACGAGTTAAGGGGAGCGGGGGGTTCAGGGCTTGAAGGTCATCATTCGTTTCTCTTTTTTTCTTAAGGGGCGGGGGTTACTAAGTTTATCTGTGAAATAATTACTAGGATAATGATCTGGATCAGATTCGGACTCCGGCGTCCCACAAACATAATATCATTTTGCATGTGTAGACTAGGTTTAGCAGCACTAAATCACTCATATTGTCACATGTCAATGATCTGCACTGTAAACACCATACAATGTGACGCCATATCCTTCTACTTTGTCACAGAATCTATAACACTTACCCTCTGTATGAAATGTGCTATTAAAATAAAGTTGCCCATTCATGCAATACTTAATGTTGCAAAACATTTTATTGGCACAATGAAAAACAAGTATAATGAATTTTTGTGCAAAACGGATTTTAATACAAATCAGATAGATCGATAATTATGTGAAAACTTTGATTAGTGTGCAGGGGTGTCGTTAGGCCTATTTTAGGGGGACTTTAGTCCCTTTAAAATGTTCCCCCCCCCCCCATTGAAAGATCTCTAGTGATGCTCCTGATGGTGTGCTTACAAACATCAACTGGCAAGTCCTGCTAATTCTACCATTATGGATTCTAACACAACAACATCAAGTTCTAGAAATGTTCAAAATGCCCAGTATTGCTAATGTTCCCAGAATGGTATCCCAATGTAATTTTTACTAGTACAAACTTATTTGAGACATCCATAATTCAGTTCTTACCAGTTGAAATGACGTTTCCAATTCATCTATATTGTGGTTTTCAGTTGAGAGGGTACCAGTTCTATTTTAGATATTGCAAATGCTAATTCTAGATATCTGATATTACATTTTAATAGAAATAACTCTCTTTTTAGACAATTCTATTGTTACTAGTCACAATGTCTACTTTAGATATCCAAAATACAAACCGGATTAAGATATCTGTAATGCAATTATAGATATCTAAAACTACTTTACTACTAGAAAGAACTCAATTTTTGATATCTCAAATGCCCAGTTGTGCTAGTAAGAATTCCACTATGGATATCTACAATTTAACTAATTAACCATTCAAATTATTACTAGTTAAAATACAATTGCAGAAATCTACAGAAAGTGAGACAAGGCACCATTTTAACATTAAAATGTTGCACTATCTATAATTTCAGATATCCAAAATAGCAATTCCCCTTGTCAAAACTCTATTTCTACTAGTCATAATCCCATTTTAGATATCTAATTACATTTGAGATATCTAGGATTGCATTCTGGATATCCAAATTGCACAGATGACGCATTTAACGTCATTTCACATAAATTGTGTCTTGTTTTACTAGTAACAAGAGCAAATGTGACAAATTGTGTCATTTATGAGAAATAGGAGAAATTACATCAACTACAGCATTTAGGAAGTACAGCAATGAATAGGCCCTTTTCAGGCTTTCTGTTTGTTTGTACACAGCAAACAGTGTACCTGTACTTCCAGTTTATCACTATAGTCAAATCACCTTGTCACTGTTACTGTAATGTAGGGCCGCTGGGATTAGTCAATGTAGTTGATGATGACTATGAAAATGTGTCATCAATATTTTAAATCGATGCATTGTCTTTTATTATTTTCATAAAATTACCTTTATGATTTCTAAAATGCTTCAATACATTATAACAAATGTTTCCGTTTAATATCACACCTAATATGGGAGTAGTTCAAATTATCACAACAAAAAAAGGTGGTTTTACACTGTGCAAGGTGTGAATGCAGACCACTACAGTACTGGCGCTTTGCATGAGCACCTGAAGAGAAAACACACTGCTAACTTAATTTATTAAACATGAGGATACGCCAGATTTATACAGATGACCAGCTTTTGTGCATCACAAAACAACATCTCCTTAATATTTTGAGGCATACTACTGCTCTGCTTCTCAAATTGTGGCTGAAAATAATGTTCATATAGTGCCGAATAGTGCATACATTATCCAAAGCCCTGCAATGGCATACAGTTTGCTGGCGTCAAAATAAAATGTACTTTTTAGATATCCAAAATTAAGTTGATTTTCTGGTGGAAAATTAATTGTTTTGATTACTCGACCAATTGATAAAATAGTCGAAAGATTAACCTATAGAAAAATAGTTTGTGGCAGCCCTACTGATGAGTGCCTGTTTGCTCCACATTGAAACAAAGACAGCTTTATCTGAGTTTTCATGATTTTCCCCAGAATACAGAATAGCAAAATGCCTGGGTGAGATCGATACAGAGGGACAAAAGTCTTCTTTTTATTATAGAGGAAGAGGCTGTTTCTGCCTTACTCTAGTTGTAAACACACTTGGATGATCGTATCAAATGAGTTATTATGTTCGATATCCAAATTTGTCATAACAGAGCCGACAGTCCCTCCAATACATAATTTGGCTTTGTTCATCCCCGCAGTAAACAGATCTTTGGATTTAAATTAAGTTTAAATTAAACTCTTATACCACTGTTAACAACCACACTCTCTCCGCTACTTAATTTGAAAAACAAAATGTTCTAAAACCAGTGATTAAGACTGTAACCAGCAGCAACCAACAAAGAGTCACAAACAGAATAATGTTTTCCATGTTGAACATCTACAGTAGTTGTGAATGTAGGTTCCCCTTGTGTCAATAAAGTTAGAGATATCTTCAAATACGGTTTTGCTAGTAATGTCACTAATTTTTTATGTCACTAATTTTAATTATGACTAGTAAAAATACAATTCAGAATTAAGGATATCTAAAATACAATTACAGATCTGTGGTTAAATGTTAAAACGGCCTGCCGTTTGGTTTGCCGTAGTAGCAAGTAACACTGTTGCTTTATACCTCAAAGGTCATAGGATCAAGGCTGGATGGCGAATTGGCAATATACACTTGCCATTTTATGATAATATTTTATTATAGAATAATACTTAAATTTAAAAAGATGTTCAGGTAATGTTATCGTGCTGACATTGACAGAACCTTTATTACAATGCACAACTTGGAAATAATGTTCCAGTAACGTTACGGTAATTAAGAACGTTCTCTGACAGTTTGAGAAGACCTCCACATAGCTAAAGTTCTTGGAACTGTTAGCTGCGGTCATGTCTGTACAAGTAACTACCGAAATAGGAAGGAAATTTTGATATAAATGCCACTGGCATAAATTATGGTGGGTCATGCAAAGGCATTTTTAGCATGTGAATTTTTATTTCCAGACGTGGATCAGCTTGATTTGGCGTTTCCAAAAATGCGTTTCCAGGTGGGTTGAAATTCAATGACCATAGAGGCATGTGGAATAATTTGCGTGCTCATTTTCTCACGCTACATCAGCGTATGTCATCTCCGCATCATCAAATGACATTTATAAGCATTCAAGTCACATGCACAGCACCAATGGTGAAACGCAAACAAAATATATAACGTTAACACAGACCAAAGATAAAAACTGATCATCAAAAAAGATTACTTGCAGCCTTTTGCTGTTGGTACACTTATAGTCAGAAACATTTTGTAACGGTGTGTTTCTGGCCCCGTCGTCTGCTGGCCGCACATCCGTCAGTTTGATCCGCGTTACACTCTTGATCGTATCTTTTTCTCACGGACGGACTCGGATCTGCGTGGTTTATCACGCAGTTATTGACGATTTAAGTGCAATCTGAGTGCAACTACGTCACTCCATAAACGGGAAAAATAAAACTCTGCAGCAAAACATAGAGGTTATAGTCCTCCATGAACCCGGGGTCTCTGCTAGCCGGGGATTCGCACATATTAAACCCCAAACGCGCAGAAAGTGCTTTTAGCGCTGCTTAATTAACCTAAAGACACCAATATAGCTGCATGTTGTCTTCCTCACAGTCTTCGTGAGGAAAAATCTGTTATCCAATTAAACTCATGTCGAAAACACATCTCCTCGATGAATATTATTCGTCTTCTTGTATGTATCACGTACTGTCTTGTTAAATGTGTTTTTGTTGAATTGTAAAGTGTCATTGAGTGTATGAAAGGCGCCATATAAATAAAACGTCAGTTAAGTTTGTGAAGTAACTATGAAATGCACTACGACCAACGGCAACGACATTGTACCTCAGTGCATGAATCCACGCATCAAACTTCGGAAGCTGCTCAGATGTCAGATCTCGCTGTTTCACCTATAAAGTGAAGCGCCATCGCTCAGTTTATAAGGGCGAACTGAGTAATGACGGAGCCTGAGCCCCATCTCCTTAAAGTTACAGTACAGGTATTCATCAGCGTTTTGATGAAAGCAATTCTCTGGTGAGACTGAATTTCGTAAACAGCAGTTTCTCTACACTAATCTGAATGAAAAATTTAGTAATTCAACTTGGAAACGTAAGTCTAATGCACTTCCAATTTCCAAATGATATGTAATTTGCGACTAATTAAGGCAGAAACTCGGCTACAGTTAATCAAACATATCATCACCATCTTAACAGCTCATTTTTACAGAAAACTTAAATAGACAAAGTGGACAAAAAGAAAAGGAAACAAAAAAATTAAATACTGTAAAAAAAAAAAAAATACCAGAGTGAAGAAGTATGAACTATTCCTTGTAAGATTGATAGTAATAACGGCAGTTAAGATTTTGAGAAGTATTGTCTGCAAATAGGGATTGCACCAGAGATATCGCTGTAAAAGCATAAAAGTTGGTAATGAGGAAATGTTATCTGGGGGCAGAGTGCCTGAGAGCACTGGCTGCAGACTGGTCATTTGGAGCAAGCAGGAGGCCAAGAGGAAGCAAGAGGAACAGCTAATGCTTTCAAAAACTGCCGTCTGATGTAATTATGTGATTTTACTCATATATTTACATACACTTCCGGTCAGAAGTTTTAGAACACCCACATTTTTCCTTGAAATTCAAACAGTCTCATTGTACTCTGAAATGAAAGCATAGAACAAGTAAACAATTGAAGATGAAAAAGAAATCATGGAATCCATGTATAAACCAAAATGTGTTCTAAACTTTTGACTAATCCTTAGCCACCTTTGCCAGATATAACAGCTGAACACACTTGTGGTATTCTTTCGACAATAGAAATCAAATATTCTTCAGAAAGTTCTTCGCTACTGTGTTGCAGAAGTTCCCATAAATGCGTGGCACTTGTAGGCTGCTTTGCTTTCACTCTTCTGTTCAGTTCATCCCAAACCAGCTCGATGGGGTTTAAGATTGGAGACTGTGCTGGCCACTCCATGTTTTCAGGGTTACCATCTTGTTCTTTTTTCCTAAGGTAGTTCTGGCATAGCTTGGACTTAAGTTTTGGGTCATTATCTTGTTGTAGGATGAACCCCTGACCCAATAGGCACATACCAGAGGCTACTGCATGGTGCTGCAGAATGCTGTGGTAGCCATTTTGGTTCAAGGTGCCTCTCACTCTTTACAAGTCACCGACCCAGGATCCAGCAAAACAGCCCCAGACCAACATGCTTCCTCCTCCATGTTTGACAGCTGATGTCACACACTGAGGAACCATCCTCTGTTAGGTTTATACAAATCCTGTGTGATGAACCAAAGATCTCAAATTTTGATTCATCAGTCCATAACACCTTCTTCCAGTCGTCATGTAGTCCATTGGTGGTGTCAAACCTGCACCTCACAGTCTTTGCTTTACAGTTGAAAGTGAGACTTTCCTACTACCACCACTATTAAGCTGCGCTTGAAGCTGTGGTCCTGTGAGCCGCCTAACACGCAAGCTGTTGACTCTCAAAACACTTGTCTTCTGATGCTGTTGTGGCTTTGGGTCTCCCCCAGTTTCTCAGTGCCTTTAGACGGTGAAGTGAAACTTTCACTTTCTTCACAATTCACAATGTGTTCCAGCACTACTTGGTTATTTGGTTACTGGTTATTTCAAGAAGTTAAGATGTCACATGACAAAGTCACTTGGACAGAAATGCGTTCTTCTAAATGAAGGGAAACCAAAATACCAAATGAGAACACAAATCAAGCGAAGCCAGCAAAGCTAAACAACTATGCAATTAGCTGGCTGCTAGGGAGTCCAGCAGCCCCGTGTGTCTCAGTCTGTGTTATGAATAATCACCCAAACCCTGCAAAAACACACATGGGCATTTAATAGCCACCACTGTTATGGCTCCAGGCCAATTTTGAAGGAAACAGGAGCATCTGGAGAAAACACAAATTAACCCATGGAGTACATACAAGTTCCACAGAGCCTAATTTAATGACAGGCTTGAACACACAAGCCCAGGAATAGAAGCTACATTAAAAGACGGAGTTCTAGCTGCGCCAGGGTACCACCCAAGCCTGCTCCCTTTCTGGCACTTAACTTCATTTATGATGCGGAGAAGCATGACAGGATATTGATGTTTCTCATAATAAAATTTTTCCAAAGAAAGGGTAGGGTACAAAAGTGCGGAGTTTAATAGCTGCCTCGATCGATAAGGTGATGTTATTGCTAAGATTTAGCCACCAGCCGTGAGATAGCAGTAGGCCTAGCCCAGGTGTGAGTCACATACTGTACCACGTCTGACCTGCATGCTCTCTCACTTTGTAAGGCTATTGTCATCGCAGAGAGACCTCTGATTTGCTAATGCACTTATTGCATTGTGGTGTGTGCATATATGGGGGGTTGAGGATCGGTAGTTGTAACACCATTATTGCGGCATGCACTTTTTATGGGAAGGAACAACAGAAGCGGTTTACACTACTGGCCAAAATTTTGGAAACCCTTCCAGTTTTTAGAAGTTGCAGAACTTCACGCAACTGTTGCTGCGGTTACTTATTCAAAACGTCCAATGCATGACATTTGTAAAATCATACATTGGATGATTAAATAGGTTCCACAATTGTGGCCACGAGTCTATATGAAGACTGTGTCTGCTCAGCCCAGTCTCACTGCCACGTAGGAGAAGACAGCTAAATGCAGAATGTATTGTTGAAATGTTTCCTCAGTGGTGCAAGCAAGACAATGCCACTTTTGCAATATTTATTAGTAATCTCTAGCACCTGTAAGCTAATACGAGCCCTCTGAGCCATTACTTGTGAGAGTAGTACATTTCAGTACAAGTTTTAAAATATCTAGAGAACTGTAAAGTGTATATGTTAAAAGGTTAAATGGTTCGACAAAATGCTAAGTATTTGTTTGTTTGTCACTAATGTTTTTGTTTGCACTGTCATTTATCACTGCGATTGGTTGGCCCCCCATCCTGAGTTCCCTGCCTTGTGCCTATAGACTCTGGACCCCCCCCCCCCCCCCCGACACTGAAGAGGACAAGTGGTTACGGAAAATGGATGGATGGATGGATGTTATTTATCGTGGAGTCCTGTGGCCTGTACTAAGAAGCGGGGTTACTGGCTTATCGGGATAACTTGTCGGATTTAAGGTAGCACAGTTTAAATGGACTTCATATTCGTTCACTTACATTTTGCCCAGACTACCTTAAATCTGACAAGTTACCCCGATAAGCCAGTAACCCAGCTTCGTAGTACAGGCCCCTGTACTTGACTAGGGTTTGCAGGAAGCACCTAAATAAGAATTTCATAGTACAATGTGCACATGAACGTCCACCCATTTGGAGAGCTGAGAAACTCAGGAATAATTCAGATCATGTAGCTCGAGGGCACTCCCAGCTCTCCAGCCTCTCTGAGACTTGAACCGATATCCTTCATATTAAAAGTCCACATACAGTTTTAAAGCTAAAAACAATCATATCGTATAAGCAAAGTTGCCATCTTGTGGCTAAAGTTGGAACTGCAGTTTGCCTCTTGACAGATCGGTGCTGCGCACTGTGTACATATGCTCACCCTTTTCTCAGATTTCAAGGGCTTCTCCTTGTAGTTGAAATTCACAGCTGTGAGTACAGCTTTGCAAAGCGATCAAAAATTCATGCTAGGAAAAAAAGACACAGGAAGATGAACTCAAATTCCCCAAACTGCAAGACAAAATATGTTTTGCACCAAAAATAACAAACATTTGTAAAATGATGTCACGAAGGAAGGAGTCGCTATTCTGAACAATAAACAGATGATGAAAGATACTTTCTGCATTGAAATTTTAATGCATGTAATTAGTTCCTGCGCACACAGTTCCAAAACAGACCTATAATTTGCATAATGATTTTCAATAAAAGCACATATAAGTTTTAATATAAGCGGGAACACGTATAATAGGATGATACATAGCATAATATGGCTTCATATTTTCCAACGACAGAGGATAAATAACAGGTTTAATAAGTTGTGTTTTGACGCATCTGACTTTTAATGCAAAGTCATTATTACCATGAAAATCTAAACTGTTATTTAATTTTCTGTGTAATTTATTACTCAAGCATATTATGTCAGACTTTTTATAACATATAACACATGGAACATTGCCAAAATACTGAGAATAGACCCACAATCTGCTCTAGACCTTAATATGCTGTAACAGTTGCCACGAATACAAAATAAACTAATAAATGACTCATTTACATGACCTTATGTCAAGTTCAACCAGAATCAAATAATAAGCAGAGGATTTTCTTTAACAGTGCATTCTCATGTTCCTCTAATACTAACACTGTACAGTCATTTATAAAATTATTTACAATAAAATATTTAATCTAATAAATATTGCTATGTTTCCGGGATCTGGGCGGGACTGAGATGGAGGTTTTGGTTCGAGGGGGACAGTTCAGGACTCGGAAAAGCCTCGGAACCAGGCACAGTACCATCAGGAGGGCGGCAAACAGCAGCCACCGGAGAACCAGGTACCACAAGGGCAGCCCTCCATCAGTCCTGCAAGGAACAGCACATGCTGACTATTCACTTCCGGTTGGATTCCTCATTGCAATGGCCGGCCTATAGAAACGTGTTTGTGCCTACTAAGCACCACAAAGCATTAGCAGCATTGCTAAAAGCTACATTTACATTAGTACACTCTTCAACCCAAAGTAACATACAGCTGAGAAGGTAGGGCCAGACAATCCCTGGAGTCAATTGGAGTTGAGGTCCTTGCTCAGGGGCCCAACAGTAACATCCCTCCATTGACACTGGGGATTTGAACCAATGACCATCTGATCAGAGGCATTGTGCCCTAACACAATGAGCCACATACTGTCCCTTTTGTGTATGTGGCTGTCACAGGATATTTCTGATCTTTCCTATCGTTGCCTGTCTCTTGAGGTCAGTTGCTTCCTGCAATGTGCAGAGTCTGTTGGTGGATTTGATAGCCATCATAGGCCTGAAAGGGCCTTAAATGCCTCTGTAACACCATCTTCTGGCTGCACATTTAAAATTATGCTGTGTTGTCAGGTGGGTGGGTGTACCTTACACTCAGCAGAACTGATGGGGGCACTGCTCGGAAATGTCCAACAGATCGTTGATCTAATGTTCCGTCGAGCAGGCATGGTAGCCGGAAGGATGGCCCACCCCTCGAGTCTCTCTAACCTCAAGCCTCCCCAACCTACCGCAGACCCATACTGCTCTACTCTGCGAGGACGGAAAATGTTTTAAAACGTGTGACTTCTGACTAGAAGCATGGCTGTCGCGCTTTATAAGAAATGTAACTTCCTGTATTTGAGTCAAGCTGTACATCACAGTCTGCAGAAGTGGAACGTCCTGTGCTCATGTAGATCCACCTGTTTATAGATCGATCGATAATATTAATATTACCTGTCAATCTCAGCTAGTAATTACCCTCTCTTTACATCAATGCCTACTTCACTAATGTGAGTAGTACCTATGGATACGAGAACTGTTCCTAGGGCCCCTGAAGATAGAGTGAGATCTGAGCACAGGGCAAAGAGATGGTTACCTGGTGACATTAAGGCCATAGGTGGTAAGAGAACTTTTGTCACCATCTGTGGTGTCAGTGGGCTGGAAAGGAGCAGCAGTTGTAGTCCTGAGTCTCTCACTGCAGTCGTACAGGTTGTCACCTGACCACAGGATAGACAGTCATTTTGGACTGCAGTGATCATACCCACAACACTGCAGTATGTACTGCAAGAGGTGCTGGATCAGGTTTCCTAAATGGCGACGCATATATGAATGAATTCATGCATGAGAGGTCAGTTTTCCTGATGCACAGCAGCACCTTGATAACACAAGGTTATAAAAAAATGTTAAATCATTTTCTATACCACTTGTCCTATACAGAGTGAGAAGCCTATTCCTGAAGCAAAAGACACACAGCAGGAAACATCCCTGGATGCAGCAGCTATTAACCAATCACAGGGCACACACTCAATTTGGAGACTCCAGTTCATCTTAGCAAGCTTTTGGACTGTTGGTGGAAATCCCACATCAGCACAGAAAGAATATGCAGACTCCTCGCACTAACAGCAGGGGCGAAGGATCAAAACCTGGTTTTCAGAAGTGTGAGGCAAGAGTGCTAGTTACTTAACCACCATATTAACCACCTTATTCAGCATTTCCTGAACAGAAGAAAAATCACATTTCCTTTTTATTTACCTGTCACATATCCACACCACAGTAATATATCAAACTGCATTGTTTTTGGTTTAACATTGCGGCACATTAATGCCAGTTCCAGTTCAGTCATGGACACACGGAGACGTGTGGTGCCATTACACTCACCGCGGATGCCCAGGATGTAGATGCAGTCCGCCTCGGCAGGACGCAGGAGCTGCACAGTCACATCCTGGCTGTTCTGGTTGCCAAGGCTGTTGCCGGCGGTGCAGAAGTACCGCCCGTCCTCTGTCAGAATCCCACAGTGGAGCTGCAGATCTGATGAGCCCGCCATGCTTACCGGCTGGGACCCCGTGGTTCGGAACCAGCCGTACTTAATCTGCGTGCCTCGTTCACTGGTGCAGCGGACAGTCAGCGGCTTCCCCCAACAGGACATCTCCGGAGGACTCAGCGACCACACTCTGGGCTCAGATACCGCTACTGAGAAACAGATTTCACCTTCAACATGGTCAAGCTTAATAATAAACAAAGGCAAGGTGGGCAGTTTGGATGATTGGGAGAATAAAGAGACAGACCTCATACAGTACCTTCAGTCACCCTTATATTGATCCGATACATAATGTCAGAATATATCTCGTCGATCCCGACCCAATACACCCCGGTGTCTGATATCTGCAGGTCTGCCATCTGGATGAACAAACCCCTTCGTTTCGCATCCTGAATCTTGAAGCGATTATTGAGCTCTGCTCTGACGTAGCCATCAGTGTCCATAAGAATCTCACACGTGCTTCTGGACTCCCCAAGACACCAGTACTTCTTGCTGAACAGGTACCGACTGGTCTGGTACTGACAGATGACCACCAGAACTCCCCCGATGATTCCATTCACCTCGTTTCTGTCACACTGTAGCTGAAGACTTCCTGGAGACAGGGCATGACCATGGGTGTAAGTTACGGGGGGGGGGGGGGGGGGGGGGGGGGGGGGTTGTAGCCCCCCCAATAAATCAAAACCAGTTAATACAACCCCCCAAATAACCCCCCCAATGTTCCACCCAAAGTTATGCCCTTGGGCAGCATCGCTCAATAAAGACACATGGAGCACAAGAGAAAAAACTTCCAAAATATGACCTTGACTTGCGCATCAACGTTGTCCTGTTTCCTGTGTGTTATTAGCATGAATATTATGGTAATGAAAGAGTAAACTGTGATCTCTCTTAGTCAGGTACCACAACAATTTCACACTCTAAATACATCATTATTCAGCACTGCAATGAAACATTCCATAATCATCAGTAAAACTGCTGCTCTCCACACCTTAAAGAAAAATAATTACGACTCCCACATCACATTCCCTCAACGTTACGCTGATTTTTCTGCCTGAGGATTTTTTTAGCTGAACTACAAACATTCTTTACAAAAATGTAAAAAAAAAAATAATTGTCACTTAAAATATAGCATGAACACTTTAAGCAAACAAAGGTGAAAATGAACGTGTTTAACAGAAGACATTATCAAGTAAATTCAGGTAAGTTCAGTGAGTCAAATTTCAATTTCAGTAAATTGATCATTTACTATGGTGTGTAAATTAATTGTGAAAGTTACTTACCTTGAAAAATCAACATCAAACAGAGGCGACTCATCATGCTGCATTTCAGCTTTGGGGTCGAAATGAAACAGGATGTTTGACTGAGATGGACTGTGGTTTCTTGTACGCTTTCAGGTGCTGCTTATGTCTGTAATGTCAATGTGTACAGGGGTGTTCAGACATGAACTTCAGAGGTAAGAGAGCCCTGCCAGACATCAGGAGTAGGTCTTTGCTAATTTATGCCGTTTTATTTGAAGCATCATCCTGGCCAAATTATCTCTACATATATATTTCCATAGTTTGAGTCTGGCACTATGTTTATCACCTCTGTACATGACGACAGACAAAATGACAATATCCCCATGGGAATTAATAATAATAAACACTTTATTAATCCCCATGGGGAAATTGTTTTTATGCCTCCCTCAACTTGCTCTTTGTAGAGTAAGCTGTCTGTGAAGGGCAGCCACCCGTAGCGGTGCCCAGGGAGCTGGGGATTGAGGGTCTTGCTCAAGGAGCCACAGACATGCTGAGGCTGGGCTTGAACCGGCAACCTTGTGATTACAGGCACACGGCTTAGCCCACTGAGCCACACACTGCCCCAATAAAGTATCACCATTCTATTCTATTCTATTCTATTCTATTCTATTCTATTCTATTCTATTCTATTCTATTCTATTCTATTCTATTCTAATGTGTTTCTCTTTCTTGCACATATATACGTGGTTCATTTATAGAAAGTTGATATAGAGTGCTTATGCCGCAAGCATCCTCAACGTTCCCTCTCACCCCTCCCATCTGGAAAGACACTGTGGAGCATTCACTAGTAGAAATGTACACTATGTGTGGTGAAGTAGCCTCCATCCCCTATTAAGAGTATTCATAACGTTTTGTCAACTACAAAGGGAACCTAGGTATCACATTTTCTTGCACATAGGAACACCTAAAGGAGACATTGCTTCATCTACTTCTCTCACAGATACAGGAACTGCATCTCGTGGTGGGGCACCATATCTCACTTTCTTCACTGGAAGCAAAGCCAACAGAGATATTTTTCTTTCCAACACAAGGGCACTTCATCAAAGTCTGACTTGACTGATATATTTCACTCGTGTAAGCAGAGGTGATTCTAGGGACACTGGGCCTGAGGGATTAGACTCCATGGGACCCCCAACGCAAACTCCCCTAACATGGTAAAACTTATGACCATCATTTTAGCGTATAGTCTAAATTAATAATATCAGCAAAGAGAATTTAATAAATGTGATTCCTTCATATTCACTTTACTGTGAAAAACAGAAAACACAAACAAAGCAGATTTGTCATTGCAATGTACTATGCAATTGGCGCAGCTCGAGGCCCCCTCACGGCACGGGGCCCCCTCACGGCTCGAGGCCCCCTCACGGCACTGGGCTCCCTCACGGTTTGGGGCCCCCTCACGGCTCGGGGCCCCCTCACGGCTCGGGCCCCCTCACGACTCGGGGCCCCCTCACGGCTCGGGGCCCCCTCACGACTCGGGGCCCCCTCACGGCTCGAGGCCCCCTCACGGCTCGAGGCCCCCTCACGGTTTGGGTCCCCCTCACGGCTCGAGGCCCCCTCACGGCACTGGGCTCCCTCACGGCTCGGGGCCCCCTCACGGCTCGGGGCCAAATGAGATTGCCTGCCTTGTCTGTCCTGTTCCCATGCCTCCGTGAATAAGGTTTTTGTTCAAGAGTAAATAAATAGCTATGGGAGTCTTTCTGTGTATTTGTGCATTTCCTGTAGTTATATGGCTAGATTTATATGGTTAGGTCAGTGGTTTAGTGGTACAAAGGCTGCCTAGCCTGGGCATTAAAACTTCAGATTATTTGTTTGGATCCACTATAACCATACTGGCTTTTGTGGCACTGACATGACTTTCTAATTGACTCAGATAAGTGTGCAGGGATGGGGCCTATTTGCATTTAAGTGCTGCAAATTAGGTTGGTATCTATAGGGTGATAGTTGTAAGTGTTCATTGACACACATAAAATGTCCACAATGCAAATCTGTCTATTCAGGGGAACACCACTAGATGGCACTCAGTGACACCTAGAGACTGTGCGGCTGGTGGAAGCTGAAGCCAGGGAGGTACTGTAGTCCGCTAACTTTAACTATAAACAAGATGACACCATTACTGCGCATTTCTTTTTGTTGCACTATGTAAGCCACTACAAGGGCCATTAAAATTATAGCAAAATGAAAACACTATAATTCTGGATATATGGTACGCCACAGGATTCTGAAACTTGAACAGGTATGTAGTATATAAATCAATTTTTGTTTCTGTCTGGCAGCATGTCGGAAATTTTTGCTTTTGAATACAAATTTAAGCTACTCTGTAGCTGTATTGATCTATACCTGCCGTCACTTCTCCTTTCTCTGGTTTGCAATATTATGTTTGCCCTTCTCCCGTCCCTGATGCAATTCTGAAATGTTGACGATGAACTGGAAAAGTTAAACTAGGTGGGTTCAGTGGATTACTTGACCAGAAATTAGATTGGCTACTCATTATAGCATGCAACCATCCCTCCACAAGATCTGGCAACCTAGCCTAAGTCATGTGATTATGCCTCTGTATGTACAGTACTTTGGTAGTCAGCACAAGTTCAACCATGGCACAGAAACTGTCACTCTGTCTGTATTAAAAACAAATTCTAAAGTGTCTTCTGTCTAACTAGCACTTAACAGTAATAGATACTTTATTGATCCCCATGGGGAATTTTTTTTTAAACCACCCCCACCGTAGGTAAAAGTAAACTGGCTGTGAAGGGCAGTCACCTGTAACAGCACCCAGGGAGCTGGGGGGTTAAGGGCCTTGCTCAAAGACCCCAAACCACGCCAAGGCTGGGTGCGAACCAGCCACTCGCTGATCACAAGCACAGAAGCGAAGCCCACTGAGCCACACACAGCACATACAAATCTGACCACTTTTATGAGGTGGAGTTACACAAAAACTCAAAAGTATGCCACGCAAAGCCCTTTTTAAATACTACTTCTAGTGAGAGGTGAATCACAGAGCTTTAAATATTTAGTCAATGAAGGCCGGAAGCTGATGAGCACTAACAAAAAATATTTTGTCATCATGAAGGTAATCTGGAAGTCATGGCCGAGCAGACAATGTAGGGAAGGCACGATTTTGTAAAATTTGATGCTGTTATCTTGCAGGTCAAATTTGCTCCACGAATGAAAGTCTCATTAGCTCCTCAAAGGTCTGACGTATTTCCCCTTTCAGGGGCCGATTGGTCCTGACAAGAACATACCAGCCCTGTGATTCAGCCACCAAAGACGTAGGTGGGGATTCCATTGTGATCCTTTAATATGACACTTAATGGCTTCATTTGAAGAAGGCATTTATTCGGCTAGGGAAGGAGAAGCTGCACTTGATTGAAGAATGCCAGCAAGGGGAGGAACCAGTCTAACCCGTCTGGCCCCGCCCCCTTCCTCTTTGCTCCCTGCCCCCAACCCCTGATTGTCACCTAACTGGCCACGCTGCCTGACATGTTCTGCCGGTGGAACTCCTAGCACCAGTGCAGCCAGTGCGGCTGCGGCAGACACGCGTACACAAGACATCTAAACAAGCAGGCGCCGCCGACCCTCTCAATCCCCCCCCCCCCCCCAAGCTGTCGGTCGTGTTCAGTCTTGCAGCAGAAGCCACCTCCTGCAAACAGGAAGTCTTTAGGACCCTGTGGCGCCTGGTGACTGGGTGAGTGATATTTTGAACCTGACCACAGAACCTGCTAGCAGCTCCTTCGAAGCGGCAGCCCGGCGTGCAGCTCCAAGGACCATTTGCAGAAGCTGGGCCAGATCCCAGGAGGAACACCCATGCCCTGAGATGTCCAGCAGCCCGGCCCCAGGATGGAGCAACAAGTTAAAGCCCTGAGGGGCTTCCTCGCCTTTGTGAAGAGCAAGGAGACGGAGGAGAATGCCGAAGGAAGCTTGGACGGCGAGTTCCTTGTGAGTTTACTCTCTGTCACTTGTGATCTCAGGGACTGGTGAAGAAACGGGTTCAGCGAGGTGAAGGTTGCACCCTGAGAGCATATATTCCAGATTTACTGCTGTGTGCCTACTGTGCTTGTCAGGGTTTAGTGAGGATTAAAGAATGCTGCTGATCAAAGATAAAACCACATGGCACTTGGGCTACATCTTGGAGGAGAGGTCAAGAAGTCCCTTTAAAAAGTCGCTTTTTAAGTTATGATGTCTAAAGCTTCTTTTCTCTAGTTTTTTTGCAGCTATTGTAGCTCTTCATATGGCTGTCCTGTCTGTATTTTTGATATGGATGGTCTGTGTGTCCGTTTCTGCATATGAAAAGTTTGTTTTTTAGGCAGGTGTATAGGGAACTATCTCCTCTTTAGTGAAATACCCTATTGCAAAAACCATAAAGCTTGAAACTGGGAGCTCTAGGCAGGACACACGACAACTGCATGAGGTTTCCGGCCCCAATTGCGAACTTGTTAGCAAATGGCGTGAATTGGGTCCGTATTCAATTACGAGCAACCCGTGTGGGGAGATTTCTCATCAGCATCTTGGGGTGATGTGTTCACGCTCGGAAAGGTCTGAGCAAACTCTTCCTCGCTCCCTATAAGTCTCTTGTGCGTCAGCTGAAATTTCCGCTCCGTTGCCCAACTCTGAAAGCAACTGCAGAAAACTAAAAAAAAAACAGGAACTCAGGCTAGCAGTAAACACATGGGTGTAGCGGCTGCCGGACAGAGTCGGACACTCATGTAACACTGCCTGCAGCTCCGTTTAGCCTGTGAGCTGTGGCTGTGACTCTGCTGGCATCTGCCAGGATACACTGAAGGGACAAACTGGGACTGTCAGCGAAATGTTTCACAGCGCCCTCGTTTTTTTCATGTACGTCATTTGCTAACGATATGCTGCAAGTCGGAGCCTTAGCCTTGTCCTTCTCTCATGGCCATATATCCTTCGTCCCGCCCCCTGTGATTATGTCTGGATCCTTTTAACACCTCGTATTTAATTCACGGCTGACATACTTGGGATTTCCCATGTGAGTTCTGTTTCTTCGTAGGTCAGTTTTGTTTCCTGATGCGGTTTTCTAAGGACGCCTGGCACATGGGCCAAAATCGAAAAATATGCAGAAATGGCGGCAAAGAGAGAATCAGACGGACAGTTTTCATTTATAATATAGTGAAACTAGCGCACTAAACACTCCTGTTGTGCTCTGTTGTAGTTTATGGATTCCATGAACACTTTTCTCTTCCTACTAAGCAGGCTAGGCCACCACAGAGAACAAACACTCTACTGCAAGGCTTTTTACACCTCACAGATCAAGTTAGGGCCAGTAAGGGCGGCTTCGACGGCATTTAGAGGAGAAAAGTGTGCATATTATTTGAGAAGAATCTCTCTTTTGAGATTTATGTGGCCAAAACAAGTGGGAAAACGAGATGAATTCGTCCTGGGTCTAAAGGAGTCAATGAACCTTCCCAGCTAATAGGGAACGTTCCCAGAACTGTAGCCAATGTTATGAGAAAGTCCTCTCAAGTTGGCAGAGAAAATTCTTACTTTTACATTACTTTGTTTTATAACATATTACTATGTTTTACATTTTAACAAAGGTTCTATCAATGTCAGCACGATAAAATTACCACCTGAACATTCTTTTAATGCAATTCATGTCGAAAAATATTGTTTTATTACGAAGCATATTATTTTATACAAGTACTATATGTATATACTGTGAAAGCACAATCCAGCCACGGACCCACAACCTTTGAGGCATAAAGCAACAACCCTACCCGCTGCCCTACCATGCTCTTTGTGTGTTTTTATATTATTACTCTTAGCTGTAATAGTGGGATTATGTTCTGGGAACATCAGGAAAACTGGACACTTTGAATGTTACCATACTTTAATCGTAATGTTTGGTAAATGTTCCTAGAATGAAAATTTTATAGCGGGGTTATAATAGTAATGTTGAGTCAAGAAGCCATAAGCATTATGTGTAGGAAGCCTGAAGAACTCGACCGAGCATGTTGGTTGTGTTTTGAGTTTCTGGAGTCTGAGCTCTGCTCTCAGTGTCCAATCCCTGGCATTTGTGGGCTCGGGAGGAATAGTGGGCGGGCAGGGATATGGTAACAGCCAGCCTCTTCTACTTTAGTGAAACATCCCACTGACGCGGCAAGACAGGAGCAAATAGTGATGTCTGAGGTAGGCCCCGTTGTGTAATGGTATTTTTTCGGGGATCTTCAGAGCTTACAGTCATGCACTGTCCCGTGGTAGGCATCCTTACGCAAGCCTAGTAAGTGCAGGCAACCACGTTGTTCACACGCTTGGCAAGGCTGCGGCTTTCCTCCCACATTGTTTGTCAGGCATCTCCGTGGGCACCTATTCACCCACCCAGCTGATTCCTCCCTCACTGTTTGTCAGGCATTTCCGTGGCCACCTATTCACCCACCCAGCTGATTCCTCCCTCACTGTTTGTCAGGCATCTCCATGGCCACCTATTCACCCACCCAACTGATTGGCATTTCTACACTAAATCTGCGACGTGCAAACTGTCTGAAACTGTGGGAGACAAACTCCACAAAAAAGAGAAAGTCAAGTTTAACTGACTCCAATTGTCATGTGAGGATACTAACAAAGTACCTTGGAGATATCAGAGGGAAAATAACACAACAAATGACAGACTCCTAAATGCAAATAATAAATAGCACAGTCAGACCACCATCACGCTGCTGACGACGTACACGAACAGAATGTGCTTCACTCACCAGACAAGAATGTTCAGCTTCACCACGTATATTAAAAATATTTTTCTTGGCATCATCCTGACTTCAAAGAGCTTTAAAGAAGTGGCTCCCTAAATAGTTTTCAAATTAGTATGACATGGTGCAGAGGTGCATCAATGCTGTGCGTCAAATATATTATTAAGTGTTCTAAGTGGCAAAGAGTACATCCTGATTTTAAAGCTAAATGATCTTTGTACAACATTGCAGCCCACCGAATAGTTGGCAGTATCCTCGCGTTTTGGTTTTCTGAGTTTTGAGAAATGAGCATGAGATAGTTATGAGAAAGTTAGCCAGTGAGTTCTACCACCACCACAAAGCGTGTTGTGGTGTGTGTGTGTGTGTGTGTGTGTGTGTGTGTGTGAACGCCCATCTTTTTGCGTGTGCATCTGAGCACATGTGTAGCTGGGGGGGATTTTGAGCTCTGGTTTCATTCAGGTTAGTGGCAGAGGGAGCCAATGTGTCTCTCAGCCTTGTGGTGGATAGGGGGCCACTGATATAGGGTAACTCATCAGGTGGGCCTCGGCGTGAGAGGGACATCGGACGCTGATGTCCTGTCAAAGGTGACATGGCCGTAATCACCGACATCACAATGACTGCCTGCATCTCACATCTGCATGTCTCCAGAGGAAGGAAGGAACCACATGGACAATCAGATCCTTTAGTGGACAGATGAAATGCATATCATCAGCTATACCTACAAAACAACAGCTGCAATATGGGTCAAAGGGTAGACTAAGACATAATTGCTGTGAGTGGTCTGAGGTTAAGGCAGGAAAGCTCTGTGACATTACAATGACCTCATGCAAATCTACTGCTGGGACGTTCTGATTAAAGCATAAAATACGCCTCATGGTTCAGGCTCTGTCAGCTCAGTGTTCTGATGCCTCCACGGTGGTTTGTAGAGTCACAGTAGAAACAAACATCCTTCAGTTGTTCAGTGGAAACTGTCATGAGCAAGTTTTCACTTCCTCTCAGGGGCAACATGTCTTCGCCTACCCCGAAAGACTTAGGTCCCGGGGCAAGTCAATGAGAAACAGGAAGGCACGCACATTTTCCAGGTCCCACCTTCTGGAACTGTGATGCAAATAAGGTCACCCATCTGAAGAACATGGAACAAAGCAGGGTGCTGTATATGTTTAAAACATAATTAATGTTAAAAATTAATAATTAAACCGACCAACAGCCCAGCTACAAAAGTGAGGCAATAGTGCTCACTTGCTGCCATCGAAAGGCTTGCTTTCACTAACGATCGTAGTTAGGGCAGTCCCATTGGCCGCTGGTGCAAGATGGTCATCATTTCCTGGAATTATGTCATTTGCAGAGGCTGAAAAGACAGTCCACCAAGTACCGTGCGGACAAGACTTACCCCACAACTATCGCAGAGAAGCAGGTGAATGTGAAGAAAAACAGATACAAGGACATCGTCCCTTGTGAGTTAACTCCACCGGAAGCCTGATGAAAAATTGTGTGTTAAGTGAGGATACCCTATCCTCCTGGCTTTCAATATACGTAACCATACCATAATCATTAATGTCAGTGTACTCAGGGGTATATATATATATATATATATAATCCCAGCTGAAAGCTGATTGGCTCCTGGAGTGCCCCCTCCCCTGTCACTCAACAATTCGAAACATATCATTGGCTAATCATAAGGTTGGTCCCTCTGTATGAATTGTGGTCCCTCTTTTGACTCCCACCTTTAAAAAATCCTAAAATTGCCCCTGATTACACTGTTCAACAGGAAGCATGACTGTGATGTATTAGAGTTTTAGGCCAAAGGCATGTGCTGTTCTGCATGATAGGAGCATTGAAAAGGCCTGGATTCTTCTCTTTTCTCTCTCCAGTTGACCACAGTCGAGTGAAGCTCTCCCTTATCACTTCAGACAGCGAAAATGACTACATCAATGCCAATTTCATCAAGGTGGGTAGAGATTTTGCAGAGCTTACAGAAGGAGACAATGAGGGAATGAGGGGGATCAGGTGTGTGGCTCAGAAAGGAGGCTGCAGTACCTGTGACTGGAAGGTCGCCGGTTCAGAATGACTTTGCCCTTGGGTCCGTGAGCAAGGCTTGTAACACCCAGATTTCTCCAGGAACTGGCTCTGCTTTCTCAGAAAAACAAACAAAGCAAACGAAAAACTATGAATGCTTTGGGTGAAAGCATCTGCAAAGTAAATAAACAGGAACAAGAACAGCCAACGTGCTTGAAAGTCTACATCAGTGTTTTCCAACCAGCTCTTTGGGGACCTGCAGACAGTCCACGTTTTTGGGAGTTGGGAGGGAGCAGAAATGTGAACTGTCTGGCAGGGAGCATGGAGGGAGCAAAAACATGGACCGGCTGTGGGTCTCCAAAGACCGGGTTGGAAAACACTGGTATACATGTAGATGTAGGTAAGGAAGTCTAATACAAATATACTTCCACTGCAGGCTTGTAAAAGGTTAATCAGATGATGGGTTAAACTGCCAGCTTCCGCTTACTGCCTTTTCACTGAGTCACTGAAGGCATTCTCATGCCCCAGTGCTGCCATTAGTATCTGGAGGGTGTAACCAGGCCCTGTGACATCTCTGTTGCCAGGGCGTGTTTGCGGAGCGGGCCTACATCGCCACCCAGGGCCCCCTGCCCTCCACAGTGCTGGACTTCCTCAGGATGCTATGGGAGTATAAGGTGGAGGTGAGAGGGTAGCCAGGATTTAGTCCAGACTGTGTCTGGCCCCCCCGTGCCCGTGCCATTCGGATGGGCGTCGACATGCCCATCTGGGTGCAGCCTGGCGTGTGGTGATGTAACTGCGTCTCTCTTTATCTCAGGTTGTGGTGATGGCCTGCAGGGAGTTCGAGATGGGCAGGGTGAGTCCCCTGGGTCACAACTTCTGCCAGCTTTCATACTACAGTCTACTGCACAGTGTTTAAGAAGTGGAGAAAAAACGATTCAACTATAATATCACTCCAGACTGTGAATATTCTTAATGTTGCACTTTCTGCTGACCAGAGCGATCCCGTTAGGTTCTTTCCTTCTTTGGAAGACGTTGTGTAGCTCTTGCTGTGATACTGCTTACACTTTTACCGGGCCATTGATTGGCAGCTCAGCATAGCTGCGCTGATCCCTGATCGACTGCTAGGCAGCCCTATGACTGAAATGTACTATTTGCATCACTTGTATGTCGCTTTGGAGAACAGCACCTGCTTGATAAAAATAACCGTAAACAGACAAATTTATGACTTGAGCTGTTGGATCTTTCTGTGAGTGAGAGTGAGTATGGAGTCGTGGCTGGGAAACCTCTGCCTTCAGCAGAATGTGGGCTTTTGTAGGTGGGGGCATCTAGATGACACACAGGGGTTTATGCACAGGGGCACTGTGAGAGCGACGGGCATTCAAGAAGACAGCTCAGGCTTTATGCTTGGAAGCCCCCTCTTTTCTCACTTCCTGTACCAATTTCTGACCCACCTTACAGAAAAAGTGTGAATGCTACTGGCCGGAGAAGGGGGATTCGGTAGCCTTCGGCCCTTTCATCGTTCGATGCGTGAGTACTTCCTTCCGAGCTCCGACCACTTCCTGTCTCTGCTAACAGCCGTCTCGGCACCGCTGAACACGTGATGCTCAAGGCCTCAAATCAAAAGGCTGAACTCAACTGGTTTCATTAGTAGCTACCAGAGACATACGACTGCAATCATACAAATGCAATGAGACCCTTATGTAAGAAATAGCTTAGTCTCTGTAGAAATTGAATTAAATGAATAATAATGAAGCATAATAAAATAACTTAAAAGCTGAGATAACATATGGGATTAGAAAAGTCGAATCATAAAGGAAACAGTCCAGAAAAAAAAAATATTGCTTTAATTTCATTTCAGGACACTGGTCACTGGCTGAATTCTTAGCAGAACACTCAAAGTCTATTTCAGCTTAACGTGGAAGGTTTATGCACACTTATAAATATGTCTCATGTTTATGTATGACAGCAGCTAATCTATCATTAGATAGGTTAGGTAATGTTCTACCCAAGTAATGATTTGGGTTACGTGCTTCAGAAGTGAGGTAGATGATGTGTTTTTTGGTGGTTCCATATCTAAAAATCCTTGACCTCGTCCACCATCTGTCATCACTCTGAGCTGGCAGAAGAAGGATGTGGGGATATGCAGAACTATTCAAATCTGTTGCACATTCCCCTCGATTCAACTCACTGTCCATTTGCACAACTGTTTTTTAACAGTTTTTTTAAGTATATTTTTCTTTCTATGTGTTATGTTCATGTCTCGGATTGTGAGTTTTTAAATGGCTTTTTTATTAATATTATACTTATCATTGTTTCTTGTATATATTTATCGCCATGTTTCTTGCACAAGACCATAATTTTATCTCAGCGTATGAAGCATGCATTATGCAGCTGAAGATGACCACAGAGGTACCATGAGGCCCTGTGCTGAGGTTGGGCAGAGAAGAACTTCCTCTTATTGACCCGCGGCCCTTCGCAGGCGCCAAGGCCTAAACCGTTGCTTTTTTGACGGCCTGGGCGCTCTCAGTATCACTTCACCATATCGGTACTTTTGTGCGTCTATTTATTGCCAGAACTCTAATCAGTGATGCATAAAGCAGAGAAAATCCACATCTCTTCCACCAAAATCTGAAGCCACAGTGGCCATTAACAGAAAGCCCTGGGTCTCCTTACTCTTTGTGTTTAAGAACTCGACCGAGCATGTTGGACCGAGCATGTTTACTCTTTGTGTTTAACTCCAAAAGGTTCTTTCGTGCACCAGGCGAGCGAGATTTGTTCAAACGATGACCAATTCTAAACCACCTCAAACGTGCGCTTTGGTTTTAGGAGTCCGAGAAGAGCAAAGGTGACTACATCACAAGGGTCCTCACGTTGTCATTCATGAAAGTAGGTAGCCGTCATTCTCAGCATCTGTTCCACAGTATCATTCTCCCAAGATCACAGGCCGTAAACACAGTCCTCCGCGAAGGTAGAGCCAACCTAGGGCATCCCCCCCTTCCGCTTTCGTGCTCCTAACAGAGCATTAAAGTGTCGTATCGGGATGTTGGGCGGTCGGCTGCAGCCCGGCGCTGCTTCCTCTTAGCCTTCATGACACAATATATTCAGTGTCTTGCTATTTTAGTACTTCACATTAGAACTACATTAAGAGTTTAAATGATTATAGATTAATATACATCAGAGAACAAAGAGCAGCACTAAACAGAAATAGACCCTGGGAAGCACAAAGCTAGATAGCAACACAATCAACAAATAATAATAATTTACAAAAATAATAATAAAAAAAAATAATAATAATAATAATAATTTTGTAGAGCCAGAGTGCTTCATAAGAAAATAAAACATAAATACACAGTATATATAAAATGGTAATACTAAAAACGACACAAGCATAAATTATAACAAAAATAAAAAATTTATAATTCTGTATATTAAGAAATGTTATGCGATAAAAGCATGGTTTTAAACAAGATTTAAAAATAGATACTGAGTCAGTAGGCCGGATCTTTAAAGGGAGGCTGTTCCAGATCAGATCAGTGCCAATAGCTGTGCTTTGTGTTATTTTGTATAATAATGAACATATATTCCTCTTTTCCAGAGTAAGTGCTTATATTTAGCTACTGTTTTCCTTTATTGTAATTTGAGCAAAAAAAATCACACCCTCAGCAGTGTGTAGATGTGACATTTACATTACAGGGATGTAGTTTCTGCTTGACTGAAGTACATGGGCTGCCAAGATATGTAGTCGTTCACTTTTAATCCATATGCATCTTTACTCCGGCTTCTACCACCAGCAAACTCGGACCATGCAGCAGCTGCACTATGTGAACTGGCCAGACCACGGGGTACCAGACTCCATACCTCCCATCCTGGAAATGGTTCAGGAGATGCGCTGTCATCAGCACCATGAAAATATCCCCATCTGCATTCACTGCAGGTCAGAGTCCCGCCCAGCACCATCTCATTGGTTGGCCATTGTCACATGATCTCCCTCGGACTGATCAATAAATGACCGGTTTTGAAACCATTTGCTGTGGGAGCTAATGGGAAATTTTCTGAATGAGGACATGAGTGCTTGAAAAACAAGTATGCCACACCTCGTCTCTGATAACCTACTCCTGAAGGTACATGGCCTTCACATGAATTCATCATCTGGCACCAGTTTTTACAAGTCTGTAGTCCAAACTCACACAGGAAGGTGTGGGAGGATGGCCACAGCCGTCATTAGATGAAGAAGAAAAAAATACAGCAAACTCATTTTCCAGACGCTGTCATTCTGCTGCATTGCTGAGACAGACCAGCAGCACCGATAAGATGACCTTGTTTTCTGAAAATCTGATAGCTCATTCAATCACTGGCCTGTTTTGCCTTCAGCTGCTAGCCTTTTGCTGGTCTTTCGTGTATTCCGGATGCTCTCCCATTTATATACGCGTCTTTGTCTTTAACTTGAATAGCTCTTTTTTTAGGTTTATTGCATAGCTCTCGCTTCAATGCTAACTCACACCTGTGATTGATCATTCACTGGAAGCTCAGCCGAGCTGCACTCATGCCTAATTGGCTCCTTGACAGCTGTATTCTGACAATTTACTATCTGCCTCGGTGGTATGTTGCTTTAGAAAAACTGGAAGCTAAATTTATCCAAAAGCCAACATAGGTTTTTTTGAGACAGCGGGGTCAGCCTCTGTGCAGCAGCCAAGACTAAGAGCCTCGTTCAAGGGCCCGATGATGACATCACTCCACCCATGCTGGGATTTGAACTGGCAACCTTCTGATCGCAGGCACACTTCTCCCATTTACTCAGCACAGAGTTGGCTTGCCTCACTCCTTCTCTCCCCGTCCTGCCATCCCACTCCTTTTGCCATTCTCCCTCTTATGGCATCTCTGTGCCCCTGCAGTGCTGGTTGTGGCAGGACGGGGGCGCTGTGCGCCATCGACTACACCTGGAATCTGCTGAAGAATGAGGTGAGATTGCTGCTGCCCTTATGGGACACGGCTCAGCAGAAGCAGTGGGTGGGTGAGAAGTCAGATTCAGGCATTTAATGCAATGATCCCCCCCCCCCCCCCCCCCCCCAGATGATCACCAACACCTTCAGCATCTTTCATCTGGTGCAGGAAATGAGGACTCAACGTCCCTCAGTTGTTCAAACTAAGGTAACAGTCCTTTGCCTCAAAGCTACTATAACCCAACCATTAACTTATCACACTGTAGTTCATTACATACCTTCAACTTACCTTGTTTTGGCCTGGGGGGTCATTATAGTACTACCAAGCTTATGTGATTTCAGGTCAAAACAGAAATAAAAATATATAAATAATAAAAATATTATAATATACAAGAATATGGCAATTACTACTACGGTCCTGACTCCATCAAATACGCATTGAAATGTATAATATTCTTAGTAATAATAATACCATTATGAACTAAGCATTTAACCAGCATGTTAAGGCATTTATTATAAAAACAGGAAGAAGAAATTGCATAGTAGGAATGACCCAACAGTTGAGACTGAGAGAAACAGGAAGCTGTTCACACAGCTTGATCCGCGGTGTCTTCGGATTGGCGGAGCTGGGGTTGAGTGTGTTACAGGCTGCATGGGCGGTCACTTCCTGCATGCCAGGGGACGATAAGGCCATCAAACTAGCACCGTAAAGTCAGCCAGACAGGTGGAGACATCGTGGGTCAGCACCCCACTAGTTTCACACGGGTTTTCATTTCCTTATATATATATATATGTGTGTTGTGTATCTAGCAGATATTATCTACATATTGCAACCATGCACTAATAACACACTAGTAGTGCAACTTTGAATAACTGGACACCAAGGGGAGCTGAAGTAAGCAGAAGGAATGAACATCCAGCTCAGTTTTCCACCCGCAGTCCACAAAGGTGCAGTTAGACGAATCGGCCCCCGTAGTGTGTGACGGCGTGTCAGCCCTGTGATAGAAAGGCATCCCTTCCTGTATGCTTCCTCGTCTTGTGCTTCCTGGGAAATGCTCAGGGATGATACCAGGGTTTTTTAAGGTGGGGGGGGGGGGCATAGGAGGAGTCAACCTTATTATTATCATTAGCTAATGATATGTTTTGAATCGGCGAGTGATGGGGGAGGGGTACTCTGGAAGCCAATCAGCTTTTAGCTGGGGCCAGTGCCCCTGTGGCCCCTCCCCCTATACATCCCTGGACATGGTACAGACTCACCATAACAACCAAGTGCTATAGTGCAATGTTCCCCAATCCAGTCCTCAGGGACCCACAGCCGGTCCATGTTTTTGCTCCCTCCCTGCTCTCTGTCAGTCAGTCAACATTTTTGCTGCCTCCCAGCTTCTCTACCTTCTCTCCTGGGTGGGAGCAAAAACGTGGACGGCCTGTGGGTCCCCAAGGACTGGATTGGGAAACACTGGAGTAGTGGATGAGCAGGTTGAAGATGGATGGATGGAATGATGGATGGATGATGGAAATAAAACTTTATCTGTACTTCTAAAGTTGATTCACATTTGGTGCATTTTTTGGAATAGGAGCAGTATGAGCTTGTGTACCGGACCATTGTGTTCTTATTTGAGCAGTATCTGAAGGCACTGGATGATTCCACAAACAGAAAACAGGTGAGTACTTTTGTTGGATGGTAATTCAGACTGGGGGATGTAGGTTATATTCCTGTGTCCTGCCAAGATAGAGCAGCCATCAGTTTCTCTGTATTTTGTTAAAATAAATGCCAGTGGTACAGACATTGTAAGACTGAACCAAAAAAGACTACTTTCCTAAAGTAGCCCAAAAAGGCAAATCCAGTCTAGGCACCAGTATTCAAATTTATGGTATAAGCCTTTTTGTAGTTCTCAAAAGACAGGCTACTGTGCAGGGGTGATTTTAGGACTTTTTTAAGGTATAAGAATGCCAAAAATTTATATAGAGGGGCCAATCTTTTCATTAGCCAATGATATGTTTTGAATTGGTGAGTGACAGGGGAGAGGGTGCTTTAGGGGCCAATCAACTTCCAGCTGGGGTCAGTGACCATGTGAGCCCCGCCCCTGCTACTGGGTAAGTAAACGTATCCTCTCTCCCTCCCGTCTCCCAGGTCCCAGTACCCTCCGTGCCCATTCAGGTAGAAAACGAGAGTGACACTGGTGACAATTTCACTGAATCACTGGAGACACCAGAGGAGACAATGCTGGGGAGGCAGCAGGTCAACGCAGAGAATAAAAGAGAGATGGAGGTTGTGTTCCAGCTCCAAGTGGACGAGAAGCAGTGGTGAGGAAACATCACAGATGAGCTTCAGATTTGCATACTCACATTGACACACAGATGTCATACACATAAATCTCCATGCATGTATTTGCTAAACTATTAGAAGCGAAATGATTCTCCTTTATAATTTTATGGTACATTATCACAATTTAAATTATTACTTTTCACCAGGTTACACTGCAAATTCTGAAAGCAATTTCTACTTTTTTGTTATTTTAAATTTGAACACATGAAGATTGACTACTACAGTTTTGTGGCTGCATGGCTTAACTGTGACATTCTTCCATCTCAGGGACAGGGGCTTAGCTAATCACACAGCTGCGCTGGCTGACCCCCCAGCCATGTGGGGCCCCCTGATGGAGGAGAACACTCATGGCGCCTGTGAACCTGAGCTCGCTGGGCACACTCCAGCAAACATGCTGGGCCCTGTGATGCCACAGCCCAGACACAGCAAACAGCAAGAGCAGACTATGTGTGAGATGCAGAAGCCTGAGCCTAAGCCCAGGCATTTAGGCATCAGGACGGACTTGCTCTCCCCAAAGCCCAGGAAGGAGGAGCACTGCCCCCTACAGGAAGAGCTGGAGCTGCACATAATCTCAGAGCCTGCAGTAAATGTCCACACACTCACCAGTTTCGTAGAGGACCCATACTTCTCTTCGAAGGAGCCAGAAAGCCCCATGGAGTTGGATGAGGTGTTTCCCACCGACAGCCCGTCGACCATCAATGCCTCCTTCAAAGCCCCCAGCCTGGCCCTCAACGATAAGATTCTGGTGCTCCCGCAGATCGGCAGTGAGGGAATAGGTAATGCCTCCTACAACTAAACCTGGGAGATGGCTACTACTCATTCTATCAATTTGAAGCCCAAGTCAAGTGGGCGTTATTGTCTTGACTTGACGTGGGCTTGAAGCATATATCAAAATACACTGGTTCAATTGAACTTGCATTTTCCTCAACGATGAACCCTATACCAAAAAATCCCATCTATGATTAGTGTCAAAAATTAAACGTCACTTCTGAGTAAATTTAAAGGCAAAAGCAAAAAGTAAAATTCATAAATTCTGAAAACAAGAACTAAAATGACATGATTGTTAAACTGCATCAGGCTTGTTTGCGCTGCACAAAAAAAGAGAAGCTTTTAGGTGTCTCTGCTTCCTCTGATTTTCATATACAGTATTATGGCTCACACTCATGTCATAGATGCAGCTGAGGCCTCCGTCGATAAAGACAGCCCCCCTCCTTTGCCAAAACGAACCCCTGAGTCTTTCATCCTGGCTACAAGTGTGGAGGAAATATCACAAATTGCAGGTGAGCATCCCCACCCAGCTGAAAACACAGCATACCTGACTGCTTTATCCCAGGTACAGAACTTCTGCTTAACATGAAAGGAACCTCATGGTCATTAGCAATCTGAGCCGTACTTCCCTTTTCTCCTGACTATCTGAAGCAGCTGTTGTCCTCTTCAGATGTTCCATTTGGTCAGTGCATGTTATTGTTTCTCTTTCAGAAAGTACTGAAGTAGACCAGAAGCTTCCCGTGGTCTCCTCACTGAGCACAGCAGAAGCCCTTAACAGAGACGGTGAGTTGTAGGTAGGGGTGTCCACTGAGGAATAAGGCAGGGGTGAATTCCGGGGTCTGTTTTTCACCCCCATAAATTATTTTTCTGTGCAGGGAGTCCCCCCTCCCCTGTACCTCCGCTTCCAGAAAGAACTCCAGAATCATTTATCCTGGCCAGCAATGAGGGTAGGTGTGAGTGGAATTACACAACATTCTTCTGATTGGTTATTTGTGATGAGGTCAGTTATTGAAATATGCCGTCTAATTACTGTACAAAATGTAAGTCTTTCTCATGCAGGAGGTCTAACTACGGACTACTTCTCTACGTACAGATTCTCATGCTATACTCCCAGAAAAAAACTGGTTTCTTATTCATGTAACTGAAGGGGTTTAACTCTGTGCCACTGGGATTCCAATCCCCCTGGGAATAGTCCCCTAATAATTCCACTCTGCCTGACTGATGAAAAATGTGTCGCTACAACAGACGCAGCGGAGAAGTTGGATCTGGACAGGCTTCTTGCCGTGAGCGGCGCCAACAGAGTAGGGACGTCGCTGGAGTGGGCTGGGAGGTCAAACCCGGATCAGGTGAAACTTAGGAATGCCTGGATGCGGAGCAAGGTGAGACCCTCCTTGGAAAATTCCACACAAAGGGATGTTATCAGGTCTCACCCTGGTACATCACGCACACACCTGCAGCTATTATTCAGGATTCTATCGTAGAACTTTCCCTTACAGGTAAACTTACAGATGCTGGAGGTCAAAGTGTATTCTATTCTCATAAATCATAGCAAATTGATCATGATAGCAAACCTTTTGAATATTTTAAGTTACTTCTAAACACTGAATTTTTGAATTTGAAAGGCCTTTTTGAAATTTAAAACAAACGTACTTAATGTTATGTCACCCCCGCAAAAATAATAAAAAACAGAATATGCAATGCTAGACAATGTTTTTTATATTGCAGGCTTGTACTTTGTATTTAATAGTTCAGCTTTATTACCTTAATGAGGGAGAGGGTTCTCCCAACGTGTGACAATAAGCCACAATGGAAAATTCCGGATAAATGAAGAACGCACACTTTATGACTGGCTAAACTAACATCTCCATGTGTGCCCATGAGCATTAAGGACAGACGCATATCAAGAAACCTGCTATGTTCCACGCAAAAGTCCCTTCTCAATCTGCCCAGTCGTTCAGGAGGGTCATTATGACCATTTAAACATTAGTCGGGCAGTCAGATCTGCATTTATACCCAGCTAAAGCAACTGCCTAAGTTCACCACCCAATTCGCTTTCTTTCAGAGCTTAAAAGTTAGAATGTCGCTACCGGGTAAGTCTATTAAACCTTTCTGAGTGGTTTTCATTCTAATGGCCTATAATTGGGATGTTGAGTGGATGGCGCTTTTATTTCTCGTGTGGATGTGAATTGTCACGGGCTCTCTCCAAATGTAGCCTCGGTCCGCTGTCGTCAGTCTCCGCCTCTTTTTTTTTCTGTCTGGCCACGCTTGACGGGACTCCGCCTCAACGCAGTGCCTTCGCTTAGCATAAAGCCAGATCTGTGCTTGAGAGGCCCTGCGGGGTCATGTGCTGGAGATTTGGGAGACCCTGGGCTCTGACTCGTGTCGATCTGTTACAGGCCCGCCTTCCTTCCCTCCGCCTCCTGTTCCTGCCCCCGTCAAAGAGAGAGCCTCTCTTCTTCTTCCTGATTTTCCTCCACCTTCTCAGTCAGACACAGGTAAGTATCTCACCATATGCCCCAGAAGGAATAATCAAATAAAATAATATAACAACGATCTCAGTTCAGTTTATCATTAAATATGTATTGCTTAAATATAGCTTTTGTTCTCTTACTGTAGTAACATGACTACACTCACATCAGTTAGGCTTAAAACCTGATGTCCCTCACCATTGTGCCCAGATTCAGTAACATCATTAATGTGCTTTTAATCTAGAAAGTTCTCCGACACTCACTCCACATCTTCCTGAACGGACACCAGAGTCATTCATCATGGCTTCTCCAGACAGTGAGCTAACGATTTTCTCTTTCCTGTTTTCAAGAAAAGTTTTGAAGCATTTCTTTTATTATCAAACATTTTATTTTTAAATCTAACAGCAGCATCTAAGGGGGTAGCGTGTGGCTCAGTTACGCTCCAGTGTCTGTGATCAGAAAGTCACTGGTTCAGATCCCCACCATTGTCAGAATCATTGACTTACTGGGCAAGGCCCTTCACCTCTGACTGCTCCAGAGACACCTAACCATCCTTTCTCAATTTATCCAATCATGCTGGATAAAAGCATCTGTGACATAAATAAAATGCAATATTTTTTGCGCGGCATTCTGTGCATGAAGTGTCAACCCCAAATATTTTCTCAGCAGAATGACTGTATATTTTTTTGTATATTTTTTGCCCTGTGAAGTGTGACCAGAGTTCTGTTCTTATCTGCTCCAGGAGATGTGGACCAGGGTTTGGACTTGCCCACCAGCACTGAGCACCCTCAGCGGATCGGAACTTCCTCCGAATGGGCGGGAAACAGTCAGCCGAAAAAGTTTCTGGACTGCATGCTTCGAAGCAAGGTGAGTGATACCTGAAAGCGACTGCGAAGGCACCATGTCCTCCGTGGCTCTTTCACAGCTTGTTATCTGCGTATCGCTGAGCCGGCTCACGTCACCCGTGTCCCTGGCAGCAGCGTGGTGTGGTTATTAGAGCCATATGTTGGACAGTAATAACCTCATCGTAATAATTTCGAAGATGCACATTAAATAGCAGACAGTGAACAAATTACTGTTAATTCAATTTAATCACACTGGCTCACAGTTAGGCTCGGGGTTGGTGGTTGAATGACTACGGAAATGATTTTCCGCTCGCATTAGGCTAAATAAGCCCAAAGCCCACATTTGAGCGTGTCTCTCAGTCATGCCTTATTAAGAAATGCGCACTCATATGCATCTCAATCTTTCCCTTACAGAGCGTTCGAACAAAAAGTTCAAAGCAAGGTAATCTGTTCACTGATCTTTTCTTTTTTTTTTGGTCATGGCACGTAAGTACAGTTTCTGTAAAATCTACGGTCTTATTAAACAGCACCAGTGAAAGCCTCCTTAATAATTCCCCACCTGTGCTAGTCTTCTTTGTAAGTGCTGGTGAAAGGTCGATACACTATTCATGATAGCTGATTCCCTTTCAGAAAGAGAAAACACCTTATTACACAAGAAATCTGCCTCGTACAATGACCAAAATCTATTTTAAAGGATATTATTGCTATGGACACTATCGATCTTAACATGGTCGGTCACTTTCAAGACGGCCTCATAATTGGTATCATCTGTTGTCACTAGAGGGCGACTTGGTGCCTTCTTCTTAGGAAAGGACCAAGCCCGGTTTAACCTGCTTAATTAGAGGAGGTTTAATCCAGAGTTTCTTTTGGTATAAATTGTCACATGCTGATGTGTGTCTGGCTGAGGAGTGTTAATTTACAAGAAGTAGGAGGGGAAATTTAATATCTTACCTTTTTTTAAATCTGATGTGGCCGAAAAGGCCTGTGTTCATTTGTGACGCCATCTTGCAGGCCGCCTTTCCACAATCAGTCCAGAAGCGGTCAGCACCATTTCTGAAGTCGGTGAGTGACAGCGAGTGCATTTCCAGATCACAATTACAGTATGCCGGTCATATGAGCAAACTGACCAATCAGCTTTGACATATGAGAAAGCAAAAAAAGTTTTGATTGGCTGAACAGTTCAAAGAGAAAGGGACATCTGGGAGGGAAGTGTCTCCCTTAGCCCCACCCATAATCAGACCGACCCCTCACACAGAAACACAAATTTAAACAAGCATTTCCTCCAGGATAAATGGAATTTATCATCGTTGCCCAAACTAAGAGTGGAGCCCCCTGTCTGTGACATATTTGTTTCTCTCAGATGTGATACAGGAGCAGCCTATAAACAACAGGGCAGTGGCTCCAACTGTGACATCAGAGGTGAGACCAAGCCAAACCCCAGAAAGGACGCCTTTGTCCAGCAAGTCAAGGACCAAGGTATGATAGCAGCCCCCCCCCCCCCACGTGTTTGTGTTTGCAAGTATGTGGTTTGACATGAGAGGCACCACTTTAGGCCTCATAAATATGCCTTAGTCTGTCTCCCCTTCATTGTCGTTAATGTGCTGTAACTCTGACACAATGCTGATCATGCAGTAATTGAGGATCACCTTCCTGTCCCACTGCAGAGCCTCAAGTTCCTGAAGAACATGCGCAAGCGTAAGTAGTGCGTCATGCAGAGCTTGGCGTCATCGCCCGTGTCCTTGTAAACCTTAACATTTCACTTCAAAACACCCACCATTAGTCATTCATTTACGGTCCAGATTGACGTAGCTGTATATCAGACCTTTTCATCTATGACGTGCCCCACGCCTGTCCCCCGTGTGTCTCCCCAGCAACGGGTACACCGTACGTCGTACACAATACCCTGCAATGCAGGAGAAGCGTCTTGGCTGTGATGGCAAATGACCAGCCGGTATACATCCTCCCAACACAATTAAACGCAGCTTTGTTGGGATTCTGGGTCACCGCTGGGGGTGAAAGAGCTCTTGTATAGAGCACTGATCGCGCTATTGCGCTCAACCTTTGCTGCCCAAGTTACCTGAGAGTCCTATTTGGACTCGAGATTTAATACTCACTTAAAAGGGTATGGACCTTAGCTAGGGAATGAAAGGGCTTTTTTTTGTGAAGTCCATCAGCAATGCTTTCCTGAAGAATACCACTGAAGCTTTACTTATTAGCTTGCCAACTGGTGAAAATGTTTAACAAAAAGGTCATATTTCAGGTAAAGTGATTTAAATGAAATCCTTCTACTGCCCTTCAATGAACGCGTGGAAATGAATGGATTTTTATGTCAAAACAATCAAATCTTTATAACTGTGATGTTCCCGAAGCTTAACATTGGATCCATCTCACCGAAGATTCCATGTGAACCCTTATCACGGTGCAGTGAAATCCATCCTACAGATTTTCCAGTGGATCTCCTACAGATGATGGCTCACCATCGATTCACTACGTCAACTGTTGTTTGTGTGAAAGATAGTCAAAAGAAAAACACATATGCTGCTTCATTTTTATCAGTAAATGTGCAATATTCTCTTTGATGTTTTTTTTAGCTAAAGAAAACCCACCTCCGGCCTCTGCTCCTTCAAGAGAATCTCCCTCCCACAGTTCCAGCCTGATGGTCAAACTCGGTATGCCGACAGCACACCAACACCCAGCTCCCGTCCTATAGCCCTGACACACTCATTCCGCCACTGCTGACTTGATTCACACCAAATCGTCACACCTGTGGGCTTTAATCTCCGCTGCTCATTTCTGCAGACCTTGGCACTTTCGGTCTCATGGCCTGCTTTAATCAACAGGCTGACCTCGGCGTCTGGAATTTTCCATCAGTTGTCACTCACTAGTTGTGCACAGTGCCAGTAATTTCAAGCATCGGGGTAATCATCTGAATTGCCGTGTTATTTACTGATGCATTTGTTTAGCAAGTGGTCACTCAAGTAAGCGATGCGATTTGAGTGCTGAATTTCAGCACACCCTTATTTCACAGGTCCATTAACCTTAACCACTGTATCGGCGTTTTCTTTTTTGCTTTTGCTCCAGGATTTGGACACCGCTTTGGAAAGCCCAAAGGCCCAAGGAACCAACCAGAAACCTGGGTGTGAGGGAGGGGCTCAGGCAACCCAACAGTTTTTTTTTGTTTGTTTTTAATTTATGACAAAATGGCTTAGAGTAGCACCAGGTCTCCCATGGAGACTTGGGGGACCATGTGACTTAGCATAGTTAACGCCGCACTGCATACCTCACACTTCCGCAATTGGCCAATAACCGATGCTGCTGTCTTACAGTCACATGGTACATTTCTGATACTTCACTAGGGCGTAAGTGTAACACTTTAAACCTCACAGTAGATCAACAACAGAAGGAAAACATGCACAGATGTAGGCGTAATTGCAGTTGTACAGTCATTCACGCAAAACATGGAGAAAATATATTGCTTTGTATTATTTAAAACAGGATACACAAAGAAGTTTACTTACTAAAATACCAGCTTTTGTGTGCCTTGTCTTATAATGTATCCCAGCAAATTTGTATTACTTGTACTGGCTGTTGAAGAACAAACATTGACGTTGTCTAGAGAATGTTCTCTTCCCTACTGAATTCAGATGGTACTCTTGTAGTATTATACACTTCGCAAAAATCTACAATTTGCTCTTGGCAAATGATGAGTTTTTCTGCTAGCCAGCGCTAACGTTCCATACCTAGCTTGGGCAGCACTCACACTTTGCATTTGGTATAGATTATGTGTCTCATACAAGGAGATACTGCTAAACAGTTGTAGTTATACAATGGATACTGAGGGGGGCGCAATGGCCACAGAGCTAAAGAAAAATGTGACAATTTCATTGCCTGTCCGGTGCCCTTATCAGCGAGGGAAGAGGGGGATCTCGAGTGTCCCCTCTGCATATTTTGCCATCTAGGAATGGGTTCCCTTTGGTAGATTTTACCAATCCAACTATATTTGGGGGGTTCCAATGTGGATTTTACTACCTGGCCACGTGCTTGCATGCTTGGTGATGACAATCCGTAAAATTTTAAATGTAAAGCCAAGCTGGATGCAGAAAGATGAGTGAAGGTACGCATCACGATAGCGAGTAACGACGGTTATCGACAGCGGAGCTGAAGCACTGGCTGAGTAGATGAGATGCTGCTGATCATCTCAGAGTTCACATCACAGGCTTATAAGACGAGATGCTTGCTGAATTACAAGAGCTCCACTTTAAAAGCTGTCACCTCATGAAATATTCATAAACAACAGAGGTAACTTATTACAGGAAGAAACCAGATCGCTCTGGCGACGCGGGATGAATACTGATGTCTTAACCCGGTGGTTCCATTTTTAAACCACGGTTTTAATATGTTTTTTATCATGCCATAGACAACTCAGCGCTGGTATTGTGAGATCTTGGAAAAACTCATGCATGCAAAGCATAACCTTTTTAAAATGATTTATTTAAAAAAATACAAGAAAGTCTATGCATTCCATTGTGTGTATTATCATACACAATAATACAATTGAAAAGATCCACACATTTTACAGAGCTCTATTAAATGTAAAGGATTATGTTTTTCCCAAAAAGGTTAATCTATATAATATTTTCATACTAACATTTCTTGAAGTCAAGATAAAGAAAATCTTCAGTACAGACATTAACAAGAGCTACTATTGATGTTGTTACACAAATCATGCCATGATCCCCAGGCAAACTTGAAGATGTACAGAACAACCAAAAACAGAACAAAAATTAGCTGCCATTTTCTTTGCTTTTTAATCCTACACTAGATCCAGAAATACATTTACTAAATGCTATCCATCGGACCAAAACTGTTAAAATATTTATTTCATATGCTAGAAAACAGATAAAGCCAGTCCTACACTTAATAATAATAATAATAATAAAAAGTTTTTGAACATAACCTAAACAACACATGAATCCTCTTTACTGATTAAAGCCTGATTCACAATGTACACGGTCTCATACCCATGGCCTCAGGCAAACCACTATGTTAGCAGTTCTCGACCCAGTCTGGTGGAACAGAAGGGAAATGTGGACTGAGGACTGGGTCGTAAGCCAATGCCCAAAGTGGTCTTCAGGTAAAGGGCATGACACAGTAAAACTGTCTAGAGGGTTGTAGGCTGCAGAGCGACAGATTTACAGTACCGTGAGCATATGCCACGCCTGAAGTACAAGCTGGGCTTTGGGGCTTCTACCACCGAACGGCGCGTCTTGCCTCAGGAAGAAAAGGGCAGACGGGAGTAACTGGACTGGCTTAAAGGCACTGAAGGATGCACTCAGTCTAACGGCACAAAGACAGCATTAATTTAACCCAACTTCACACAAAATAATTTCATGGTACTGGAAATGGGCTGGGGGGGGGGGGGGGGGCGGGGGCTCCATAAAATCGGCGGTGTTGCTGGTGTTGAACTGCATGCCCCCGGTTCAGACACTGGCGGGGGTTTGTCTCTCTAGGAGGCATTGAGCAAAAAACACAGGACTGCCGTCAAAAGTTGACGCATCGACAAGTAAGTCACTTGACCAGCGAGAGACGAGCAGAGACCTGCGTCTCGCTGAGTACGCTGAGACCAAACGAAAAACCTTTCCTGTGTCGGAAGCCGGCTTTCACGTGATTTCATCCTTTTCAAAGAAACTGCTACCTTCAAAGGGACGGACGGAAAAAAACACATCAAGCACATCTCTACGCCGAAAACAATGGCTACCACACTGCACCCTGTATCACTCATCCTGTAATAGTATAAAAATTGCTATAGCCATTGATATAACTTACTATGGGTATTTATTATAAATCAACACTGAGGGAAAAAAGCATGATTTAAATGCACTGGGAAAAAAGCACATATTGCCGATACGTAGATTAATATATTACAATTTCACAAGTTGGTTAATGGTAAACAGTACTGGAGTTAATGATTATGAGCCAAACACCTATTGTACCCATATATAATTACAGCAGTTTTTTCACAACATTTGCAGAACCGTCTTGGGGGAGGAAGGCCTTATAAACTCCATGAAAGAAAAATAAATAAATAAATAAATAAATCACTGAACTTGGAGCCAGTACACTGCCCTCCAAAGGTGAAACACAGAAACTACACCGACACAGAAATCGTTCTGCCTTGGTTTTAGTTCACATTTTGTATTTGTTGTCATTTTCACATTTTTCTTCAAAAACCAACCTGAACTAAGACATTTGGTCATGAGATAAAACAGTTTATGTTTAAAACAGTTTACAGTTTAAATGAGTTTAATACACCTGATTTTGGTATTTGATGAAATATGCAGTTCTTGTGTTTTGCCTTTGGATGGCAGTATACCCGCCATAGATTTCAGTCAGATTTAACTATTAGCGACTTTGATATAACCTGATATAAAGCATTCTGCCTCCACAAGACCCCCAGCTGGACACATAGCCACCTACCTCCCATGTCTAAGGTAAAAATGAGCACAGCACAGAATGCCTGGCAGCCATTAAAACTTTGTACAGGTGACACACAGCAAAGCACATGGAGAGGGGGGGGGGATTTTATCTATGAAAACCACGATACAGGGGTAGCGTGTGGCTAAGCAGGTTAGGACTCTGTGTCTGTGATCGCAAAATGATCGGTTCAAATCCCAGGTCCGGCAGAGTGACTTCACTACTGAGTGCTGAACCCCCAGGGACTGGATGAACATGTTCTGAAAATGTATGTCTGCTAAATTAAAAAAAATAATAATTCTTACATTAAGTGCTGTAAGGCTCCATGCCTCCACCCTGAAGCTGAGGAGACAGGGGGGGGCTTTGGGGAAAGGCTGCCCCCATTGTCATCGCGACAGCGGAACGCTGCGATTTCCACTTCCCAAGCCAGGCTGAGCGTTTAACCAATCAGGGTAATTCATCAAATTATTTGAATTTAAATCTGTGCAACTAATGATACGATATTTACTGATTTGCGTTATTTAATCTGTGCTAATCGTATAGGGGTCAAATATACATAATTAACGACCAATTTGCATAATTACTGAACTGAAAATAAATAACACTTGTTATTTTTCAGGAGAAAAACACAAGACAGTTTGAAACATCTAGTCACTACCACCACACAGCCCCCTGCCAAACTGTTTCTAACAATTTGATTTTAGCACAACAGGGGGAAAAAATAATCAAAGCTAGCATTCAATTAATGAATTGGAACTAAAGAGACTTTAGTTAAAATGTTTAGAATGGATTTTTTTTCCCCGTGCTCAACCCTGGCGAACTCAGCGAGCTTTGCTGAGAGCTCAGACGGTGTGAAATGGAGCTTCCATTAGATGTGACGGCACAGGCTGCGATTTCATGTTTAAAAACCCCCTCACGCCACAACAAAGAATAAACAAGGATGACCGCACTGACGATATCACTACGATACTGAAGCCAGCTGCGCACGGTGAGCAGAGTGCCCCACAGCGGCATCTCGCAGGGTTTGGCAATATGCGTTTCCAGAGTCTACCGGAAAGATTGTGGCAAACGAATGACTGTTACCAAACAATCACATAATTAGAGATACATTACAATTTTTGGGGATTATTTTACAGTCTGATTTTCAGAAGCAGATTTTGTTATTGGCTACAGGTAACAGGAAGCATTTGGGTAATATTTTAGAGACTATCAACTTGTCAAAAGATGAGTGGCGTGTGGGTATTAAAAATTTCACCCATACACCTTTGGTGACGGTTTTCTCGGAGCCAGACCTTATTGTTTATTTTTATTTACAGGAAACAGACAAAAAGGTTTTCCTTCTCCTCCATACAACATATCTCTTCCCTCCGAAACGGCAACAGACGGCACGGAGTTCCTGAGATTTACAGTATCGCAGAGATAGACCCTGAAAGATGATGTGGAAACAAAGCCTGTCTAGTGACCATGTTTCTGTTCGTCGCTGCCTGTGTCCTCTAGGGGGCCATAATTAAAGCCGTCATGTGACCCAGACAAAAATCTGACCGCCGTGCAACAGAAGGATAAACTGGTTTCAGAAGAGCTGTTTTTGACAGAAATGCCTTATGTAGTGAGTTACTGAGGGCGGGGGGTCTGCTTTTCAATTGGGCTGTATAGAATTACACCAGCTAGACTCCAAGGATGAATCTCAGATGCACCAAGAGGCACCACTGGACATTTTCTAACTAGGAACTAGAGATAACAGGCCCAATTGTCTCCTACCTGCTTCTACTGAAAGATCAAACATGGACAGGGAAACGGCAATAAGTTAATTTCACAATCATCACTTCAAACGCGACTGTTTTTTTCCCATTTTTGGCAGGCACTTTCTGGAAAAATGATTCAATGAAGTAACATAAAACAACTTCCTATGAACTTCAGCTCTTTTACAGAACTACCACTGTACAATAAAATGATCAAAAACAAACAACAAACACAAATACTGACATCTGATTTAAAAACAAACAAACCAGGACTTCTTACTTAAAAAAAAAAAAAACAATTTGTTTCACAAAAAAGAATAAAACATACAATCTGTATCTAATTGCAGGGATGACCCCCAATATTGTTTCTGACAATGTGGAATGTCAAACACTTACAGATAACCTCTTGTTTTTAAATACCCCCCAACCCCCCGGCCCTTACCCTCCAGTCCGACGGTATAAAACGAGCAGGAGACATCACTCGGGGGGACGGGCGGGTCTCTTCTGCTCATCACAGCAGGACAAGGAGCAGTCCTGGCCAGGTAGGGTGGGGGTCTGCGGAAATGCAGGCGCAGGCGGGGGCTCCGGGGGGAGATGGGGCTCCATGCACGGAGGCACCGGGGTGGGGGGCTGCCTTGGGGGCGTGGCGGGTCTCTGGAACATGGGCTCTTCCCGCTTGACATTCACATCCTGGGCTGTCTCTGGGGCTCGGGGCACTTTGGTGTCGGAGTGGGCGGAGTCGGAGGCGTGGCCCGCCTGCTCATCTGACTGATGGTACTGCTTGAGGCGGATGTGCCAGGCCAGGCTGCAGACAGCGGACACCGTCTTGAATTGGTGGATGACGTTGCGGGGTATGAAGTAGATGTCGTCGTCGCACAGCTGCACCCGACAGTAACGGATGCCTTCCCGGCGCAGCTGGTTCAGTTTGGCGTCGTCCACCCACTGGACGCACTGTGGGGGGGAGCAAGGGGGGGACAGCTTTACTCAACACCCCTGCAAGGGACTGCAAGGATCACATTTCATGAAGAACTCATTTTAGAACCTTACTTGAATGCTTAAAACCACAGACTAAACATGCAAAAATCACTGTGTGGTCTAAGCACATAAACTGGTGGGTCGCAAACCTAATGAGTCACGAGACAACAGTAAGTGGGTCACGTATCCTCCCTCACCCCCCCTCCCTGAAATCCCTGAAATCAGTATGCCTAAGGTGGGATGTCTGATGTTCTATTTACTATTACTGCACCATTTTTTTCTAAAATAAATCTGGTTTTAGATTTTAAAAACTGGGAAACTGAGTTAAGGCTACTAATGTGGGTTCTGAGGCTAAACCAGTTAAGAACCACTGGTCTGAACATCAACATCCCAACTGACATCCCCCTCCCCTCTCCCCTCTCCCCATATGGGCATGAAAACCACACGCTGCCCACTAGTGACCAGGTTGGGACTGTGCAGCTGAAATGCACCAGGACCCAATGGTCACAGATCTGGTCATGTGACGTCTTGTATCCGTGACCTCACACTGCCTCCAAAGTGCAGTACCTGAGAGACCGGGGGCTCGTAAAGGTCCAGCTGCAGCCTCTGGACCACGTCGTTGAAGTCTTCCGCATGGAAGCAGACCACGTCTTTGGTGACCCGGGGCCGGTCACTCCTGGTATGTGAACACAGCCACGTCATCAGCGGCTTCCCAGAGCAGCTCTCACACCATAAGGAAGGCAGAGCGTGAGCTGAAGCGGCGCCACGTACCATTCCCCGAACTGCACGGCCTTCAGCACGCCCACTGCCGCCGTGCTCTGCCAGTCGAAGCTCTGGCCCACGTGGTCCGCATGGGCACGTGTCCGGTCCTCGAACAGAACCTCGCGTGGCTCGCTGGCGCGTGGTAGATAATGCAGGTTCTTGATCTCGTTCATGGACCTGGAGCATCGAGACAGACACAGCGAGGTCAGCAGCCTGGTTCTGCTGGCCCACGGCGCGGATTAACTCCATGTAGAGCAGGGTTTCTTAACCCAGACCTCGGTGACCCCCAGACAGTCCCCAGCACACCTGCACCAGGAATTCGATGTTCTTGATTGGCTGGGAGCTAAAAGGGGGCAACAATGTGAACCACCTGGGCGTCTGAAAGGTCTGGGTTGAGAAACACTGGTTTAGAGCGTCAACCGGAACCAGCAGGCGGCCTAAGGGGGGCACTTGCGCTCATCTTTAATCAACTTAAACCACGGCTCTGTTGAATTCTCAAACCTAACTGGTCAGAAGGCTGTTGATTCATTTTCTATAACTGCATATGTTAGGACGTGGTTTCTCAAGCACTGCTCAGAGGCAAACCACAAGCGGGGAGGCAACGCACTCCACCTAGGGCCACCGACGTGATAAATGAAGAGTAGGTGGGCCTTGTGGTTCGAAATGCTGAGAAACTATGTGTTACTACAAACAGCATTATAATAATTGGTAAAAGAAAGCAGTGCTACTAATAAATGTGTTTTTGGCTTGTAAATGTGAAAATTATGCATTTACTAGCGTGTGTAGGACCCGGGATAAATCAACTTGAAGTGCATTGGGTGGCTCATTCTTTAGCTGCGGTCTGACGGCGTATATCACGCAGCTTCTCGTGCATTAGTCCTTACTAAGTCTTTAGTAGAGGGCAGTGTGGGGCGGCTGGGGTCTGACGGCGTATATCACGCAGCTTCTCGTGCATTAGCCCTTACTAAGTCTTTAGTAGAGGGCGGTGTGGGGCGGCTGGGGTCTGACGGCGTATATCACGCAGCTTCTCGTGCATTAGCCCTTACTAAGTCTTTAGTAGAGGGCGGTGTGGGGCGGCTGGGGTCTGACGGCGTATATCACGCAGCTTCTCGTGCATTAGCCCTTACTAAGTCTTTAGTAGAGGGCGGTGTGGGGCGGCAGGTACCTGCGTCTCTTGAAGGGCGACTTGGGCACGTCGGCCGTGGGCACCATCTGCTCGCCCGGCCGCACCCACATGATGGGCCCGTCGTCGCTCTGGGAGCGGCACTCCAGCTTCAGGCTGGACAGGCTGCCCCACGGTAGGGTCATCTGGAGGACGACAGGCAGCCGACGTGAGGCGAGGACAGGGGCAAGTGGGGCTCTACCCAGAATGCAAGTGGGTGGAGAGCAGCAGAAAATGAAACTGGTCAAACTAGCAGTGACTGAGCATCTGGGCGGGAAAAGTGGCCCCACAGCCTCCCATGATGTTCCAAGAGCCCTTTTCCGATAACTGAAGACCCCTCTCCAATGCAAAAATTTACCGGGGGGGCGGCAGTTCAGGAACAAAGACAGTAGCGGGAACCTATAAGTGCGAGAGAGTACCTCTGATTTGGAGAAGGGGGTGCCCATATGTTTCTGGGGCCTGGTCATGTGTTCCTGCAGCCCTGTTGCCCACAGACAACTAAGCAGAGACCATGCTAAGCAACACGTGTCCGATCTTATAATGAAACGGCTGTGCTTCAGGCTGATCGTATTAATCAAGCTCTTCAAGTGCAAAAATTTACCAAGGGGCCCACTTCGAGCACCTGCCCGTCAAAAAGTGCATGCATGTCACAGAGTTACGGTGCATTTCTGTCACTAGGCCTGCATCATGTGCGATGGTAACATAGGCATTGTTTGTCTAGTTTGCAAATGCAGTTATTGCAGTGCAAAGACAGCAAGTCAGCTGGGCTGAAACTAACAATGTGTTGCACTAAAACAAAACCTAGCAAGCACTGCAATTTTAATGATGGTTCCTTTTCAAGATTATCTAGCAGAGGTTTTAAAAAAAAAAAAAAAACACCGCTGCTCTTGCATGCGCTCTTGCATGCGCTCTGCAAAACAATCATAATCATTCTAGTTCTTGCTTTAGGGCCCATAAACAGCGTTGGACTTCGTGTGAAATTTAACAAAAATTGTTCACCAAAAGACATTCGCCTTCTGCTGTATAGAAACAGCTCGAATTTCATAGAGACAATATTGAGGAAAACCAAGTGATTCATCAGCACTGTGTGTTGGCACAACTCGCAGGGAACACCACCAACACACACTACTGGTAGATAAGTTCTATTTAGGCACAGTTTATTTTTGGCAAATTTTCAGCTTTTTTTTTTGTTTTAGAAATATCACAACATGTACTACAAATATTTCAAAGATTGCAATGGGAATTTTTTCCAATATTGTTCAGCCATAATAAGAAGAATATAATAATCAAATAATCAGTTATAGCATATAATACATTTTGCTTAAAATAAGAAAACAAAGAAGCCCTTCTCTGTATTGGTTACAATGTACAAGAGGGTGACATCAAACCTTAAGAAAGGGAGACTCCTCCAGCATGTCGAGAAACTCTGGGAAATAGTCCCCCACCTCTTCATCCACGGCCCCCACCAGGCTGATCTGCCTCATCGGACCGGCCCGGTACGTTCCGGAGCAGTAGGTCCGATTCACCTACAGGGACGTAATGGTAGTAAGAAGAGGAACCAGAAAAGACCGTCATTATCGACAACCGTACCCGTGCTAATGCGTGACTTTACATTGTAGCTGCACATTACTGAACAGTAAAAGCACAGAAACAATTACATAATAATCAAATATGAATGCAAAATTTCTTTAATGAAAAGCAGTTTGAGCTCTGTATTGCAAAAAATACTAACACAAATTAAAACACAAATTTATTGCCAAGAAACATTTTGAGTGAAACCCAAAACCCACATGATTTTATCAGAGCTGTGCAAATGAACCTTATATTGGGAGGGGGGGGCGCACAGAATGCGGATGCTGGGAAGAAGTCCTGAAATCTTTCAGGAATGAGGTCATGCGATTTGCGACGGCTCTGAGCCACAAGGTGACACCGGTGCGCGTTACGCCAATCGGGCCTCCTGAACACCACCTTCGCTCATCGCCGTAAGCGGGAGTCTCACCCAGCCAGACGCGGCTCCCACGGGTGTGGATGTGGCGCATTTGCCGCGCGTGTACTTTGGACCGTACCACCCATGGGGGGGGGGGGGGAAGCGGTATATGTGGGCGTGTCGACAGCAAAACACACACTGCCGACCTCAGTCTGACTCCAGCCTCACGGATCTTTGCTGCTCGTCCATGTTCACAAACACCCCACATTCTCTGTTACCGCCGTCACTGAATTAATTCCAGTGCTGCCAACTGCAATTGGTAAATCCCACAAGGGCACTGCAGTTTTATTACACCAGCAGGAAATCTAACCTGAGAAAATCATAACCATTCAAAAGCATTAGCCTCCCCCAAATACAGCCCCCCCCACCCCCGTTGAACACTGTCAATTGTCACTTATTTAATTTTAAATAGCCTGACTAAATAGACGAACTAAGCAGGTTTATCCACACTGATACAAATACCAACACACGTCATATAAAATAATAA